AAAGAGACAAAATAGATCTTTAATATTATCTACATCCACGGGACACCTCTAAATGAGGAGGGAATGAAGCAATGCCTATTAATCACCAATTAACCTGCGATCAGGCGTTCTTCTAAAGCTAAATTCAACTAAAAGAAGTAATTGAAGAAGAAATAAGACTGGAGTAGGTCGCTGATAAGCTGGTTTGTTTGTTTTTTGTTTTTTATCTTATTGCTAATCAGGAGCCCATAGGCTCCTGGTAATAGTTCGTAATAGCCCACGTTCGATAAAGAAAAATTCTAACATGAATCCGAGGCTTTCTGGTTACATTTCTATATTAGGTTTGGTTTTCTATGTACTCGTGTAAAATTTGCAATTTTTGTCCGTGTTAGATATCGAACGCAGCTACTAGTGCCAGTCCCTCCTGAGTGCGGAATTTTCAAGATGGCGTCGCTTTGTTATTTTCTAGTTTCATCCTATCGTTCAGCACTTTTTACCCTTTGGACAAGTAACCTAGGCAGTATTTCGAGCTTTTTGATATTTTCTCCAGCTGCTGAACATACTTTACAGCGAAATATGGATGAAAATTCACGAAGAGGACTTAAAACAAACACGAAGGGATCGGCCTGTTTGCAAGAAAAAGCTTGGAAACTATAACAAATGTGAGTTTTCTAATTTCTTCCTGTTTCAATGGCCCAAAATGATTATTAGTGTTTTGGTTACATAGATGATAGTAGACAGCAATTTGGCTGTCAGAGTTGTTCTGTCGTTTTAGTTGTGCGCTGTAGATCAATTCAAAAATGCCCGATTTTTTGCTCGTTTGCAGACACTGAGTTTAGGTCAGATAAAATAAGAAAATTTTAGTCTTGTCAGTGGGTGCTTAACAAATCTTATGGTTTTAGAAAGTAGTTCTGTGATGTATTGTGTCGCATGCGAAAAATAAACTTCGCTCGTTAAATTTTGAGGGTTCTGTGAGTTTCAGAAAATGGTGAAAATTTGCTTATAAAAATGGCGTCCGAGGGGATCGAATAAAGTGATTCTCGTATCTCTAATACAAGAGCAGTGAAGAGCCTATGTTTATTATATTTGTCCATTACTCCACCAGACCTATCTATGATGTTAGTATGAACTTATCCTGTTGACCCCCTTCCGTTGACATTTTTAACATTTTGCCCGGTTTTCTCCGACAACCACTCTTAAGCCGTTACCGTGACCGCGTCAAGATCAGATCGCAGGATTAGTTACCCGGTGCCCTATTGGAAAAAAGTATTCCCTTTATTAGAGTCAGGATTTATGAACCTTGGTACACACCTAGGCTAAATTCACAGAAGTACCGCAAGAATACATTCATTCAGGTTGTTACTTGACAGCACTAATGAAGGCCAACCATCCGAGTCCTAAAAAGAGACGACCACATCAAATTTAAGTTATCTTGGCAGATAACTGATTTAGATGTTTAGAAACAATCAAGTAGTGTCTTAATAACATACTTGGAATGATATAAAGGCTGGCTTTAATTTCACCGAACTGAAATATTCTCGGCTAAGTTGGTCGATTATTGCGTTCGACGTAAGGAGAGCGCAGACTAAACTCAACGCGCGAGAAGCCAGGGCACGAGCATTTAAATTTGGATATCGTTTTTAGGAATTCAACTCTAGGAGAGTTCGCCTTCATTTGACAAAGTAATTGAGTTGGAAAAATCGCGACGAAGAAAGAACGGGAATTCACTTTTTGGTGACGTTTTTGCTGCGTCAACGTCCTCGGATCTTTTCCCAGAGCCCGTCGTTTCTTTAGGTCGCATGGAAAAAAGCACGTTTAGAAATGCTACAGGGGATATCGAGAAGCCGACAATTCGGATATTTTAAAGTTCAAACGACAACGAAAATCAGCTGGACATACCGTTAGTTTGCAGAGTGATCGGCTAGCGATCGAAAAATGGCGAATTCACTTTGGCGAGTTGCATATTGGAGAGCAACTGTGGGAAAGCTCTCAGCATCGTTCATAAATACCTGTTCTACTAAAAGAGAAATTTCATTATACAGAGTAATAGACTAGATCACCACCCGTCTGTGCAGCCGTAAGAGCTAGTTGAAATTCCAAAAATCAGCTGCGTTGTGTTCAGTAAAGATACTGCTGATACTTCAATCTTGATAAAGAGAAAGTGCCTCTGACAAACAAGGCTGGATGTTGTGGGGTTACCTGTGGCTATCCCTGAGAAGTATCATGCTTGTCTTTTGGATTACTTTTACGAAGAGCATCATAGGATCTGCCACATGAATTCTTTGGGAGGGGTTATTTCTGGTGGCCGGGATTGGATGCCGCTATTGTTGAGAGGGTTCAGCTATGTCATCTTTGTGCTGCCTTGGGTAAGTACCCTCCAAGGGCACCAATATCTACCCTTCGAAATGGCCTGCTAAGCAAAGGGAGTGTATGCGCACTGATTTCTTTGAGAAGGGCAAGTTGAATTTCTTGATTGTTGTTGATGCTTATTCTAAGTGATTGGAGGTAGCTGGAGGTAATCCCCATGAGTTCTATGACCAGCTTGAAAACCATTAAGGTTTTGCGCGCGTTGTTTGCACTCTACGGAATACCGGAGGAGATGGTTTCGGACAACGGGCCGCAGCTAGCATCTGAAGAATTCACTCAATTCTTGAAGCAGAATGTATTCAGGTCCTCCCGGGTTCCACTGTACCATCGCGCATCCAATGGAGCTGCTGGACGTTCTGTACAGACTGCAAAGGCGGTTTGGACCAAGCAAGTGCTGAATGGCAAAGCGAATAGCCTCAGACTGAAACATAGGCCAGCCAATTTTCTTATTCTGAATAGTAGCAGACCTCAAATTGTCACTGGGCAATTTCCCGCTGAACTGTTTATGGGAAGACAGATTAGAAACTGAAACCCAACCTCAACATAACAGTAGAGGAACAACAGTTGAAGCCGAAAGAGCACCTGGATGAAGGACAAGAAAAGTTCGGAGGGTTTAAGGCAGGTTTCGCTCATGCGCGGTTGCAGCAAAGCATGACTAGCACATGGTTCGTTTCGTGTTATAGTTTTAGACATGAATTTCTCAAACTCATTAATAATTCGTAGAGTACATACAAAGGAAATTAATGTTTAATAAGTGTTGAGTGTTTGGAAATCAGATGAAAAAGTTCTCATTTATGCATCCTTAATTTCTCCTTCTAAAATAATTTTGTTTGAGAAGTAATATCAAGCATCCTACACAGTGTTTCATCACCAGATGAAAAACCTCGGAGTTCGTCAGAAATACAGTTAACTCCCGCCTTGCGGACACCCCGCTATTGCGGACGCTCGCTATTACGGGAAAAATCTAGATCCCCGACAAAAGCTGTAGCGGTTTGACTGGAGACCCCCGCTATTACGCAGTTACGGACAGTTTCTTAGTACCAAAGTTGCAATTTTTCTGTTTTGACTCTCGATAAAGCGAACACACTGTACTTCTTACTTTCTTACTTACGTAAAATTACAGTCTGCCGTTCATCATTTGCCAAAATACATTTCAAAAGATTTCCGGAATGTTTATTTTCAATTAAATTCCTTAAATTGTCTGCAAAATCGTCCTCACTTCTTCACTTGAGCTTACGCTTTTTTCTGCCCGGTCCTTTAGGAGAGATCAAGCATTCGTATTCCGCTCTCAACGACTGCAGCTTAGCAGTTTGGGTACTGTTGATAAGTTTGTCCAGTCTTGCAATAGACTTTGGGTCGCCATTTAGCATAAGAAGCACATTTATTTCAAATAAGAGAGCTCTAGATTTGAGGACAAGGACAAGTACGAGATTTAACTTAAATTGTTTTCGCGTATTCTCTAATAATATTTACCTCGGAAAGCTTCATTGCACTATTTTTCACCTGAAAAAAAATGCCGTTATTCTTACTGGAGAAGGTTTCTCTCTTTCCCGGTCGCAAAACGATTAAACTTCAAAAACTTGATAACCTGTTTCCCCCTTACGACATTCTCGCCAAAACTCGTAGTAGAATGACGACGGATGACGTTGGTTCCCGCGCGCGCACAACTTAGTTTTGAGAAAATCTCGTTCTTGTAGTCGTCCTCGTCTCAGAATCTAAAGCTCTCAAGAAAATCTTCCGAACATAGTTAATGTTATTTATAATGTTACTTAATACAGCACTTTTTTTCTCCCAGCCCGTTATTACGGACTCTCGCTATTACGGACGCAAAACCGCGGTCCCGAAGGTGTCCGCAATAGAGGGATTAAGATTCACGTTTACGCCAAACGGCAGACGTGAATTTGTACCACGTCTGACCAAGTTTTCCCCTTATTTTCCGTTCACTCTTTATTGCTTCTACAAAAAAAATAAGTAGTTTTATGACAATATTTTTATCTGCTTATTTTCTTTTCTGAGAAATTCTCAACTTGAGTCTGACGTTTGCCGTTTGCGGTAAACGTGAATCTTAATCTCTCTAATAACGAGAGTTGACTGTACTCCGTTGCCCGTAATTTTTTCAACTCTCTTCTCAGAGCGCTGGTACAATAGTCGTGACTAATACGTAATATTACGTGGCAGGTGTGTTTAGAAAAGTCATATGGTGAGCAATAAATCATTCTTTTAATGTTTTTTTGTCACTCCTTATGGGAAAAAAATTGATGTTGCTTCGATTAGGAAATCACCACTTTAAATAGGACAAATGCACGATGGCGTCATTTTGTTAAATTACCAGAATCCTTCAGTCTGTCCCTTTGTTGTGGAAATTAGGGCTACTGTTTTATAAAGCTCACTGGGTTTTAAATGAGAAAGCACAAAGGAAGTAAAGTCTGGAAGTTGTAGTTAAGTGATGCCATCTTTAAATGGCTTATTGTGCTATTGAAAGCTTTTCACTCTTTATGTTAGGCTTACTCACGGGTAAAATTCATCACTAACTCTTACGACAACAGTTAAAAAGTCAGAGCAGTTCAAAAAAAGGTTTATAAAGATCCAATTCAAGTATGGTGGGAATCCTCGAATCGGGCAGTACAGCCTTAAAAGTTATAGAAGCTGTAGCAATGATTGCGTTAAATATTTTGTCACTTTTGGGGAACATTCTAGTTTGTTTGTCGGTTTACAGAAATAGTAGTCTCCGTACCACAACGAATCTTTACATCATTGCGTTGGCTGTAACTGACTTGATAGCTGCAACTCTAGTTATGCCTCCAGCGTCTGGAGTTCTTATCACAGGAAAGTGGCCTTTTGGGGAAACGGTTTGTCAAATACACGCTTATTTCAGTCTGTTTGTTGTTTATGTTTCACCTGTGACCATGGGTCTTACTGCACTTAACAGATACATAAGAATATGCAAATCAAATCAACAATATAATCTGTACTTTTCCAAGAAAAAATCTCGTATTCTTCTTGGATCTGCCTGGACATTTGTAGCTCTCTTCATTTTAATTCCTCGCCTTACTGGTCTACAAGATTTTCATTTTGTGCCGAACTATGCAGCTTGCTTAAACAGTCACTTGAGTAATTTTGGAAAAATACTTCACTACATTGTCGTTCTAGTCTTGTTTTTTGTCCTTCCGCTAGCTGTGACAACATTCAGCTACAGAAACGTTTTGAAAAAGATTCGGGAACACAATGCTGAAACTGCGCAAAGTCTTCGAGCAAACAACAACGAGACAGTTACCTCAAACGAGATTCGACTAAGCAAGTCCCTTTTTGTTGTCGTCTTTGCCTTCATGTTGTGTTGGGTACCCGCTTGGGTCATCACCATCCTGACCAGATTGTTTTTTGGCAATAAAATGCCTCGCAATGTTCAGTTACTTTGTACATTTTTCTTAAATACTTCGAATGCCATCAATCCCTTTATTTATGCGGGAATGAATCCTATGTTTAGAACAGAGTTTCGAAAAGTACTCGGATGTAAATTTGGAGTGAGAGTCGAGAGTAGTTCAAGTCAACAATCATCAAGTAGAAGACCAGCCACTTGATGGATAAGCAGTAACCACAACAAAACTGAAAAAACTGGGGATGAGGAGATGGAAAGCCTCGAGTGTCAAGCAATTAAAGATGAGAAAACTGAGAAAAACTGACAGTGAGCGTAGCCGCTAATCTAATCTTTAAATATTGAGATTCAGAATGAGCTTATGCTGCACTAGACAGTCAACCCGACAGGTTTGCAAATAGAAGCCGTTTACCTATAAACCGTAATCTGTTTCTGTGAAATATTTTCTGCACGCGGAAATTCATATTACTCGCCTCTTAATTTTCCGAATTTTGAGGCAATAGTTAAATCACTCCATTTTAGTTGGATCGGTAGACAATTAAGTGTCCATCAAATGAGACAAAAGTGTATCCCTAACTCCTTTTTCGAAAGATACGGTGGTCTTTCTTTCCTACTAAAGTGTAATTGTAATTCAAAGAACCTGGACAAAGATATATCGCTCTTTTATTTGGATTAATGCTTGTCAATGACTACTTTAAGGAATTGCGTCTGAACAGCATACTTATCAAGCTGATCTAATTCTCTGGAACAATGAAAACATAACAATTGAAGGTAAATCGCTATTTTGGAAAAAAATGCGTCAAAAAGGGAATTTATTATATTCAAGACATTTTAAATGAAAATGGAAAATTTCTCACTTAATTACGAAGAATTTAAATGTAGATATAGTTTACAAGTGAACCTTTTGCACTACTTTCAAATCCTTGCGTCAATTCCAGTGGGTCTTAAGCCCAAAGCGTCTTCTGAACCAAGGCCTGCGGGATCGAGCCTTGAAGATGATGCTTAGGCGTGAAAAATGCAAGGGTTAACCCCGATAAATATTCATTCTTTATTCACATAGTGAAAGAATGGAATAATTTCAGGCACACCGTAATTTTTAGGGAGTTATTATAACTCCAAAAATGGAGTAAAAATTTTAGGTACAGGATAACCCCTTTTTTGGGGTTATTTTAACTCCTAATTTAACTCTGAATTTGGGGTCATTTTTACTCCTGAAAAAGAGTTCTTTTTACTCCCAGTCTTGGAGTTAAAATTACTCCGAAATGGGGTTACTTGTACTCCTTACAGGGGTTGTTTTTACTCTTTTTGGAGTTAATTTAACTCTGAAAGTGGAGTAAAAATTTTAGGTACAGGATAACTCCTTTTTTGGGGTTATTTTAACCCCTCAATATCTGGGGTCACTTTTACTCCTGAAAAAGAGTTCTTTAAACTCCTTTTTGGGGTTAAAATAACTCCACGAAAAATAACTCCACTGTAAGGAGTTAAATTAGCCCCACTAGAGGAGTTATTATAACTCCCTGAAAATTACAGTGTCATTGCAACTATCTTCGTGCCTCTAGCTACTGGAGTATAGTAATAACTAGCAGTTGGCCTTTTAACGTCATTTTGCAAATAGACAATAATTATAAACATTAGAGTCGCTTTAAATTGTACCTGCTAAATCCCAGGACGCTGTTAATGTACAACTACCCTTAAAAAGGTAGTACAACCTCTATGTTCACGCAGTTTTACTTTACTTTTCTTTTCTATAACTGGGGTGCCATATTTTCACCCCCTTTTTAGTATTGAACAAAGCTCCAATTTTAATTTAGAACAGAACCTTCGCGACAAACACTGCTGTGATCCTATCCCTTGCCGTTTAATTAAATTTTTTGAACGTAGACGGTAAACAGATCTTGTGAAGTTAACTTTTCAATGGCGCCTAAACTTTCTCCCCTCCATTGTCACTTTTGCAAATGAGACGACCACGTAGAAGTTAAGATTCATTAGCGTAAAACAAATTTAGATGTTTAGAAAAAACCAAGCAGTGTTTTATGATTAAACATAATGAAACCGAACCGAAATATATTCTGTTAAGTTAGTCGATGATTGAAATTAAAACTATTGTGTTCTACGCAGCCGTCAAAACGTACTCTTAAAATAATCCGACTGAGAGACTGCTAAGCTACTCTCGAAAAAGACAAACAATGAACGTAAGAAAAGAAAAAAAAAGTTGGAAAAGATGGGGTGATAGTGCGCTTGTAGAATAAACGTCGCTAATAGGTAATAAGATGAAGCAGGTGTGTTAACAAAATTCATATGAAGAAATAAATTATTCTTCTCTATGTTTATATTATTATGAAAGTTGTCACTCCTAATGGGAAAAAAACGTGATATTAGTCTTTGGGAAATCGCATTTAACGGTGGTATTGAAAGCTTTTCACCATTTGCATTGGGATTACCAACAGATAAACGTTATCGCCATCTCTTTCGGCAGCCGTTTAAATTGTGGACGTTGAAAACGTTTACAAAGATCAAGTTCAAGGATGGTTGGCACTCTCGAATCTCGCAGTACAGCCATAAAAGTTGTAGAAGCTGGAGCAATGATTGCATTACTGAAATATTGCGTCGCTTTTAGGCAACATCTTAGTTTGTCTGTCGGTTTACAGACATAACAGGCTTCGTACCACAACAAATCTGTACATCATTGCATTGGCTGTAACTGACTTGATAGCTGCAACTCTGGTCATGCCTCCAGCGACTGGAGTTCTTATCACAGGAAGATGGCCTTTTGGTGAAACGGCTTGTCAAATACACGCTTTTTTCAGTCTTTTTGCAGTGTATGTTTCGCCTGTAACTATGGTTCTTACTGCCCTTAATAGATACACCAGAATATGCAAATCAGATCAACAATATAATCTGTACTTTTCGAGGGAAAAATCTCGTGTTTTTCTAGGATCTACCTGGACATTTGTAGCTCTCTACATTTTAATACCACGTGTGACTGGTATGCAAGATTTTCATTTTGTGCCAAGCTATGCAGCTTGTTTGAACAGGCACTTGTCAACGAGTAATTTTGGAAAAATTGTTCACTACTTTGTCGTTCTCGGCTTGTTTTTCGCACTTCCACTAGCAGTAACAATATTCAGCTACAGAAAAGTGTTAAAAAAGATTCGGGAACACAATACTGGAACTGTGCAAAGTCTACGAATGAACAACAACAAGACAGTCACCTCAAACGAAATTCGACTAAGCAAGTCCCTTTTTGTTGTCGTCTTTGCCTTTATGTTGTGTTGGGTACCCACTTGGGTCATCACCATCCTGACGAGATTGGTCTTTGGGAATAAAATGCCTCGCAATGTTCAGTTACTTTGCACATTTTTTTTAAATATTTCCAACGCCGTTAATCCCTTTACTTATGCAGGAATGAACCCGATATTTAGAAGAGAGTTTCGAAAATTACTTGGATGTAAATTTGGAGTGAGAATCGAGATTAGTTTAAGTCGACAATCATCAAGTAGAAGGCCAGCCACTTCATGGATAAGCAGTAACCACAACATAACTGACAAAACTGGGGATGAGCAGATGGAAAGGCTTGATTGTTGAGGATGATCATGAGAATACTGAGAATCTAATCTCTATATATTGAGTTTATTCAGCTTATTATAGCCTAGACAGCGCGACAACTCTCTAGACGCCATATATAAACCGTAATCTGTTTCTGAGAAACAGAGAAAATATTTTCCGCAATGAAAATGATATTACGCGCCTCCGTACAGATACGTTCGTCCGCTACAGGTGGTTCGCTTTTGCCGACATGCTTAAGAACTCTTTATACATCAGTAAGTTTTTTGAAAGACGTTGTAGATTGATTACTTTATATATATTCAGCAGGTATTCGAGTGAACGAAGAGAAACGAAGGGAGAAATACCAAATAGGAACTTCAATGAAGGGGCGTAGGTACAAAGTTTCCAGAGGTACGCACAGTTTTCCACAGGTGACGCAAACTCGCAAGTGAGAATAGTTGTTGCGTAAAAGGAATATTATAAGGGTTTGTGGGTGGATTTTAGCGATCGTTGCATCGACTATTGTTCTCTAATTACTTCTACAGTGAATCGTGAACAAATTATTTTCACTCCAATGTACAGCAAGCAGACATGTACAAAGTTAGGAATTGGCATCTCGTTTGTTTGATAGCAAGACTACAATAACGCGGGCGGAAAAACATTGTGGTTTAGATGGCCTAAAATTACAAATAAAACACTACAACTCATAATAGAGCGTTTTCACTCAAGTGGTCAGCATCTATGCAAATTTATTGAAACAAGAGAAAGCGTTTACAAAAGAAAAGAGTTCAACTCTCACAGGATTGGTTTGGAACACCAACATGGCCGCCTTTTCATTGGTTTGGAACACCGATATGTCTGCCGTGGGGTCATGTGAAAACACTCAATACAAAGGCTGATAATCTCTTGAATACATCGAAAGCGGACTTGATTCGCCATCTGCACATCTCCCATAATATACTTTGTTTGCCCCCCCAAACTTTGCATAACCTTTGTTTTTTAATATCTTCGTGTTATTTCAGACGTCCCAAGAGAAATTGAAGACAATGCTTATGAAAATTTTGGGGGGCAAGCAAGACGCATTATGCAAAAAACATTAAATGCGAATCCCAGATCATTCTAAAGGATAAAAAGCTATTGAGGAAGATTCAAAAAACGCTAAACAATCGACTTAAGGTCATCATACAAAGGGAAAAAAACTACTTCATGAAGAAAAGTTAACTAAGACGACGAGGGCAAACTAACGAGTATAAAGATAAGCATGAAGCACAAAACGCAGTTAAAAGAGATGTCGTCGAGTGACCTTTTTCTGCAAGCTCCCCATGAAAGGAAAGACAAGAGAGTTTTGGATTCTGGATTCCAAGTCGTGGATTCCGGAATCCAAGAACTGGATTCCAAAATTTGTCAGTGGAACTTGGATTCCGGATTCTAATTGTCAGTGGGATTCCAGATTCCTTGAGCTGTATTCAGGATTCCAAAGCCCAGCATTCCGCATTCCACGAGCAAAATTTTCCCACCTTCCGAATACCACAAGCAAAAGTTTCCCGGATTCCCATATGTGGGGTGACTGCAACTCACACCTTATCTATAATAACTCAAATAACAACATGCAAAAGCGCTGACAACGTGTGAATTCCCAGACGCAAGAAAATGCATTTGTTTCTCTTCTAGACCACATCCTACTTTTGATGTCGGTTTAATAAATCCCAGTTTACTTATTTACACCAAGTCAGTTAAAAAATAGTTACAACGACCGAAAGAAAATGATTACAGAATATGTTTGATAGAATCAAACAAGAAGAGAGTAAAATTTATGGGTCGATATATACGTCTACATTGAGTTAAAAGTTCCATATCGGGGGTAGCCAATTGGGTAAATTAGAGACATGCTTCGTCTTCGGCTTGTACGTTATTTTCCTTCCTTTAACTTTGAAAATATTCAGCTAGATCTATGATCTATCTGATCTGTCCTTAGATATTTTGTCTGAATACTAATAAAATTCACTTTTTCTGTACGTGTGCTTTTGCTTATAAGGGCATAATTTTTAGAGGAAAATTGTACAAATTGTACACACCGTTAGTTTGCAGAGTGATCGGCTAGCGATCGAAAAATATACGAATTCACTTTGGCGATTTGCATATTGGAGAGCAACTGTGGGAAAGCTCTCAGCATCGTCCATAAATACCTGTTCTGATAAAAGAGAAATTTCATAACACAGAGTACTAGACTAGATCACCACCCGTCTGTGCAGCCGTAAGAGCTGTTTAAAATTCCAAAAAATGAGCTGCGTTGTGTTCAGTATTAAAGATAATGCTGATACTTCGATCTTGATAAAAAGAGAACGTGCCTCTGACAAACAAGGCTGGATGTTATGGGGTTTACCTGTGGCTATCCCTGAGAAGTATCGTGCTTGTCTTTTGGATTACTTGTACGAAGAGCATCATGGGATCTTCCACATAAATTCTTTGGCGAGGGGTTATTTCTGGTGGCCGGGATTGGATGCCGCTATTGTTGAGAGGGTTCAGCTATGTCATGTTTGTGCTGCCTTGGGTAAGTACCCTCCAAGGACACCAATATCTACCCTTCGAAATGGCCTGCTAATCAATGGGAGTGTATGCGCATTGATTTCTTTGAGAAGGGCAAGTTGAATTTCTTGATTGCTGTTGATGCCTATTCTAAGTGATTGGAGGTAGCTGGAAGTAATCCCCATGAGTTCTATGACCAGCTTGAGAACCATTAAGGTTTTGCGCACGTTGTTTGCAGTCTACGGAATACCGGAGGAGATGGTTTCGGACAACGGGCCGCAGCTAGCATCTGAAGAATTCACTCAATTCTTAAAGCAGAATGTATTCAGGTCTTCCCGGGTTCCACTGTACCATCGCGCATCCAATGGAGCTGCTGGACGTTCTGTACAGACGGCCAAGGCGGTTTTTACCAAGCAAGTGCTGAATGGCAAAGCGAATACCCTCATTCTAAAACATAGGCTAGTAGCCAATTTTCTTATTCTGAATAGCAGCACACCTAAAATTGTCACTGGGCAATCTGTCACTGAACTGTTTTTGGAACGACAGATTACGAACTGAAACCCAACCTCAACAGAGCAGTAGAGGAGCAACAGTTGAAGCAGAAAGACCACCTCGATGAAGGGCAAGTGAAGTTCGGAGAGTTGAACGAAGTGTTCTTGGTTCGCAATTGGAAGCGTGGAGTCGAACGGTGGATCCCTGGAAGGATCACTCAGGTAAAATGTCCCCGCACTTACCTAGTTCGCTGTGGGAGCCAAATACGTTTTGTTCACGTGGACCATTTGAAGATTACTCGCTGTATCCAGTCTTCAAACTCTTGGGAGGGAGAGGAAGAGAGTAATTACGCCGAAAACTTGCTTAGTTCCCAAGCCGAAGTGCGGGGTGGATTAATTAAGGAGTCCCTCGGAGCCACTGATTAGTACATGCGAGGCAGGAGGAGTTGCGAATGGAGGTGACGTGGAGGAACACGAGACAACCGAGGAGACATATGAATCAATGAATCATCGTTGGACGACGCTTCGGGGGCAGAAGTTACTCAGAGGCACCACCTTCACCGCACCCAGCACCGAGGTACCCGTGTCGAGAAAGAAGACCATCACGCAGACTACTCTTTCAGTAGATGACTCTGAAAATTGCTTATCTGCAGGCTAGATTTGACTCGTATTAGTTGTTTTTGCCATGCTAACCATCCCAAATGTTCGGGAGGAGTGTAATATATTAGCTTCCAGACATCTTGTATTTAAGGCAGGTTTCGCTCATGCGCGGTTGCATCAAAGCATGACTAGCACATGGTTCATGTTGTAGTTTTACACTTGAATTTCTCAAACTCATTAATAATTCGTAGAGTAAATAAGAATTGATGTTTAATGAGTGTTGAGTGTTTGGAAATCAGATGAAAAACTGCTCATTTTTGCATCTTTTTAAAGATACAAAAATGAGGAGATATTTTAAAAATAATTATTATTTCTAAAATAATTTTGTTTGAGAAGTAATATCAAGTATTCTACACAGTGTTTCATCACCAGATGAAAAACCTCGTCAAAATACAGTTAACTCTCGCCTTGTGCACGCTCGCTATTACGGACAAAATCCAGATCCCCGGCAAAAGCTGTAGGGGTTTGACTGGAAATGGCTCCCGCTATAACGGAATTAAGGACAGTTTCTTAGTACCAAAGTAACAATTTTATTGTTTTGACTCTCGATAAAGCGGAAACGCTGTACTTCTTACTTTCTTACTTACGAAAAATTACAGTCTGCCGTTCATCATTTGCCAAAATATATTTCAAAAGATTTCCGGAATGTTTATTTTCACATCGAGTTTTTAAATTGTCTTCACAATCGTCCTCACTTCTTCACTTGAGCTTTCGCTTTTTTCTCAATTCCTGGCTCTTTACGAGAGCTCAAGCCCTCGTGTTCCATTCTCAACGACTGTTTAGCAGTTTCGGTACTGTTGTTAAGTTTGTCCAGTCTTGCAGTATATTTTGCGTCGCAATTGAGCATAAGTGGCACATTTATCTCACATTAGAGAGCTCTAGATTTGAGGACGAGGAAAACTACGAGCACGAGATTTAACTTAAAGTGTTTTCGTGTATTCTCGAAAAATATTCAACCCGGAAAGCTTCATTGCAGTATTTTTTACCTGAAAAATTAGTGCGGTTATTCTTACTGGAGAAGGTTTAGCCCTTTCCTGGTAGCAAAATGAGTAAACTTCAAAATCTTGATAACTTGTTCCCGCCATGAATAAATTCTCGCCAAAACTCTTAGTAGAATGACGACGTATGACGTTAGTTCGCCAGCGCGCACAACGTAGTTTTGAGAAATCTCGTTCTTGTAGTCGTCTTCGTCTCAGAATCTAAAGCTCTCTATTAAAGATTAAAAAAAAATCTTCCGAACGTAGTTAATGTTATTTATAATGTTACTTATAGCACTTTTTTTTCCCACCCCGTTTCTACGGACTCTCGCTATAACGGACGTAAAACCGCAGTCCCGAGGGTGTCCCTAATAGAGAGATTAAGATTCACGTTTACGCTAAACGGCAGACGTGAATTTGTACCACCTCTGACCAAGTTTTCCCGTTATTTTCCGTTTACTCTTTATTGCTTCTACACAAAAATAAGTAGTTTTATGCCAATTTTAACCATAGGAATCGTTCCGGACTGTTTTGTATCTGCTTATTTTCTTTTCTGAGAAGTTCTCAACTTGAGTCTGACGTTTGCAGTTTGCGGTAAACGTGAATCTTAATCTCTCTAAGCTTCTCTAATAAAAGGAGTTGACTGTACTCCGCCCGTCGTATTTTCAACTCTCTTCTCAGAGCGCTAGTAAAATATTCGTGACTCATACGTAATATTACGTAGCAGGTGTGTTCAGAAAAGTCATATGGTAAGCAATAAATCATTCTTAATGTTATTTTGTCACTCCTTATGGGAAAAAATTGATGCTGCTTCGATTAGGAAATCACCACGTTAATAGGACAAATGCACGATGGCGTCATTTTACTAAATTACCAGAATCCTTCAGTCTGTCCTTTTGTTGTGGAAATTAGGGCTATTGTTTTTTAAACCTCACTGGGCTTCAAAAAATTTAAATAAGAAAGCACAAAGGAAATGAATTCTGGTAGTTGTAGTTAAATGATGCCATCTTGAAAATGGCGTATTGTGCTATTCAAAGCTTTTCATTCTTTATGTTAGGCTTATATTACTAACAGGTAAAATTCATCGCTAACTCTTGCAACACCAGTTAAAAAGTCAGAGCAGTTTAAAAAAAAAAGTTTACAAAGATCCAATTCAAGAATGGTGAACATCATCGAATCAGGCAGTACAGCGTTAAAAGTTATAGAAGCTGGAGCAATGATTGTGTTAAATATTTTGTCACTTTTGGGCAACATTCTAGTTTGTTTGTCGGTTTACAGAAATAGCAGTCTCCGTACCACAACGAATCTTTACATCATTGCATTAGCTGTAACTGACTTGATAGCTGCAACTCTGGTCATGCCTCCAGCGTCTGGAGTTCTTATCACAGGAAGGTGGCCTTTTGGGGTAACGGTTTGTCAAATACACGCTTTTTTCAGTCTGTTTGTTGTGTATGTTTCACCTGTGACCATGGGTCTTACTGCACTTAACAGATACATAAGAATATGCAAATCAAATCAACAATATAATCTGTACTTTTCGAAGAAAAAATCTCTTATTCTTCTTGGTTCTGCCTGGACATTTTGTAGCTCTCTTCATTTTAATTCCTCGCCTTACTGGTCTATAAGATTTTCATTTTGTGCCGAACTATGCAGCTTGCTTAAACAGTCACATAAGTAATTTTGGAAAAATACTTCACTACATTGTCGTTCTAGTCTTGTTTTTTGTCCTTCCGCTAGCTGTGACAACATTCAGCTACAGAAAAGTTTTGAAAAAGATTTGGGAACACAATACTGGAACTGCGCAAAGTCTTCGAGCAAACAACAACGAGACAGTCACCTCAAACGAAATTCAACTAAGCAAGTCCCTTTTTGTTGTCGTCTTTGCCTTCATGTTGTGTTGGGTACCCGCTTGGGTCATCACCATCCTGACCAGATTGTTTTTTGGAAATAAAATGCCTCGCAATGTGCAGTTACTTTGTACATTTTTCTTAAATACTTCGAACGCCATCAATCCCTTTATTTATGCGGGAATGAATCCTGTGTTTAGAAGAGAGTTTCGAAAATTACTCGGATGTAAATTTGGAGTGAGAGTCGAGAATAGTATTTTAAGTAAACAATCACCAAGTAGAAGCCCCATCCACTTGATGGATAAGCAGCAACCACAACAAAACTGACAAAACTGAGGATGAGGAGATAAGGATGAGGAAAATGAGAAAAACTGACAGTGAGCGTAGCCGCTGATCTAATCTTTTAATATTGTCGGAGATTCAGAATGAGCTTATGTTGGCCTAGACAGTCAACCCGACATGTTTGCAAATAGACGCCGTTTACCTAGAAACCGTAATTTGTTTCTGTGAAATATTTTCTGCACGCGGAAATTCATATGACTCGCCTCAAAATTTTCCGAATTTTGAGGCAATAGTTAAATCAGTCCGTTTAAGTTGGATCGGTAGATTTCTAAACGGTCCATTGAATGAGACAAAAGTGTATCCCTAACTCCTTTTTCGAAAGATACGGTGGTCTTTCTTTCCTATTAAAGTGTAATTGTAATGCAAAGAACCTGGACAAAGATATATCGCTCTTTCATTGGGAAATGCTTGATTACTTTAAGGAATTGCGTCTGAACAGGATATCAAGCTGATCTAATTCTATGGAACAACGAAAACATAACAAATGAAGATAAATCGCTATTTTGGTAAAAAATGGGTCAAAAAGGGAATTTATTATATTCAAGACATTTTAAATGAAAACGAAAAATTTCTCACTTACGAAGAATTTAAATGTAGATATAGTTTACAAGTGAACTTTTTGCACTACTTTCAAATCCTTGCGTCAATTCCAGTGGGTCTTAAGCCCAAAGCGTCTTCTGAACCTAGGTCTGCCGAATCGAGCTTTGAAGATGATGCTTTGGCTTGAAAAATGCAAGGGTTAACCCCTATAAATATTCAGTCTTTATTCGCATAGTGAAAGATGGAATAATTTACCGCAGTATGTGGTTGAAGCAGAATCTTTTAAACTGTTTAAAGCGAGGTTAAAGGTCAAATGAACCAAAAATTCGACATTTTTTATTTTAGTTCAATTCTAGTGAAATGTGTTTAATATGAACCAAATAAACATACTATGAAGTTTCAGCTCAATTGAAGTAAGTATCTCCGAGATATTTGCAATTAAAAATTGCTATTTTTTGCCCCTTATCTTCGTAGAACGGTCGGAAAAATTGTCGGTAAAAACAGCTTGTGACGTCAGTGTTGGTCAGGTGAAAAAAAGCGGGAAATTCAAAACAGGTTTTTTCTAGTCGACTTGGCGCAGAAGTGGTTTGTGCGGCCATAAACCTGGAAAGAACAGGCAATTTGTCTTCAAAAGTTGCAAGCTGTGGTTATAACCTTCTTATTATTTAATTTTCTCGAAGAATACATCATAGTTAAACGGACTTAAACACATTTACTAATTTCCTTGGAATTTCTTTGGAAATTTTCAAAACGTTTTATTCCTCCTCAGACTGACGGATGATCTGTTTTTAGTCTAACATTGGTTGTTCTGAATCCAAAGTAATTTTCAAGTGACGAAAAAACAACAGCAACATCAAAAACAACATAAAAAAGGAGCAAACGTTCACACCTCGTGTATTTCATTCACTCTCAGTCAGAACTCTCACAGAACGAGACAAACAAACGCGGGCGATAAGGGATGCGCAGAAGCTTGCGCAGAACGTTTTTCTGCCCTGAAAGACCAACATTGACGTCACGTAGTCTCCAGTCTATCACGCGGCCATTTCAGAAACGTTTTCGTGAAGTCTTCGGAAATGCTCGGATTTTGATCTTTTATCTTTCTATAAACGCTTGGGAAGAAAAATCTTTACCCAAATCTCGCTTAGGATGTTTCTTTTTAGTGTTTGGTGAAGGTAAAGTGACAAAAGAAAATATTTCAATTTTTTGGTTCATTTGACCTTTAAAGTCTTTTTTGAATATGTGAATATGTAAATAGTGATAGGTAATAATTTAACGTATTTTTTATTCCTTTTTTAGGAAACGTTATAGGGTTGTCCTCGAGTTTCCTTTTCATGATGTATTTTATTTTTTATTTTGTTATCTTTAAACGTAATGAATAATCCAGCATTGTTTGTTTGTATGCTATGTTTCACCTCTTTAATGACAAGTCAATCTTGCTTTCAAAAATGCGATGCACGGATTATTATCTTCTTTTTCAAGAAAAAACAGAAATAACACCTATACAGCCCTGAACACGTGGTCCAAGCCAGAAGCCTTTAACCCTGGGCTCCTGTCCAAGCATAACATTGATATCAAGAGTATATGGAAAGATCTGTTTAAAAATATACCGCGGCTATCTATTGACAACAAATTGAGACAATTTTCCTTTAAAATACTTCCCTCGTATTAGTAACTAAAAAAAGCTACAGAGATTTAAAATTTCGGATAACGACGAGTGCATCTACCGCAGATTACATGATTCTATAGAGCACGTTTTTCTGGAGTGCTCTATCTGTTGGCCTCTCTCTTTCGCAAGAAATGATAGGATGGTTTAATGATAAACACAAGGTGAAACTCAAGCCATTCAGCTTGCAGTTACTCGTCAAAGATCACAAATTTATTGGTCAAAGTAAAACGTAAGTTTTGATTTTAATTTTGCAAACTCAGAAATATTATTACCAATGCAAAATGTTAGAAAAAGCCCCAAATTCCTCTAATCTAGCAACACTAGAGTATTAGCTCAATGGAAAATTGAAAAATGCGAAAATTTTACATACTTAAGGACACCCTTTTTAGGGACAATCTCGCCTGCTTTAATTTTTTTATTATGTGTATTATTATTATTCAGTTGGGGGAGTTGTTTTATAACAATTATTCACCGAATTGGAGGTCGCTAGTTGTGGTAGTAATTTACGGAACGGCGAAGCGGCGAGGTAAATGCCACCACTAGCCACCGATAATAGGGTGAATAATTGTTTTAGTATATACTAAAGCAATGAGATAATTGAGCACTAAAATGATGATTTTCAACTCATTTTTATTGTTGCCAACGATCTCGTTACAATTTTGGCGCGCAATGATCGAACGCCCGTCGCATTTCTTCCGACACATAAAACTTTTGAAGGCATTCCTTTAGCTCTTTCGGGGAAATTTCTTCAAAAGGAGTTGTGAATTCTCTTTGTATTTTAAAACCATTCTATAAAAAAAGTATTAAAATTAGTTTAAAGGTTATTTATGAACGTGTAAGCTAAATAAAGTAACGCAAGAGTTAAGCTTAATTTGCATTTGTAAACAAAAAACTTTTTCACCGGTTTTATCGATAAATTCTGAGCGTCGATAAAACCAGGAATATGGAACATTCCGGAACATTCCGGAACATTCCGGCATATCCCGGAACATGAAAAAATTAAAATATTTTTTTATGAAAAAATAATTAATTAATTAAATAATAATAATAATAAATAACAATAGATGGAAAACAATTTTTGCAAAAATTTATAGTAACAAAATAAATAACATAACATAAAAACGAAAAATAAAGAAACAAACAAATAAATAAAGAAAAAGAAACTGGTATCATCTCCGAGTATGAGAAAACAATATTTTGTCGCAATGAATTTTTTGGGCGAGTGAGGGTCCATCCAAATGACAGTAATGAGTGAAGGCTTGCTTCTAAATTCAAAATATATTAAAATGGGTCGCGAGGAGAGGGTTTTCAAGCTTTCGTCACACAGCCACCTCTTGTAAATGTTTGCCATGCGGTTTAACGGTTATCCATTTACGGCTTTGCGACCGTAAGAAGAGCTTAGGGGCTCGTCGCTTTGGACTTGGATAATTAAATTAAAGATTCACATTCGCCGTGAATAGTTGCAGTGGCAGTGGTAGCGCAGGGGTAGCTTCTAACTGTTATCATTAGCCTGAATTTTAGCCGTCTGCCCGCAAACTCCTCTCGCTCCTATACTCTTCTTAAGTTCACAGAGCCGCCTAGACTGTAAGTAATTTATGTCAACCTCAAGTGAAGCAAAGCACCTCAAGTAAGCAAATGTCGGTTTTATATAAGGAGACTATGTGTTGGCTTGAAATGAGCTACTTACCAACTTTGCTTGACATGAAATGCTGCACCGACATTTCAGACCATCGCAGAACCGTAAATGGATAACCGCCAAATGATTAACTCATGGCAAACAAATACAAGAGGTAGCTGTGTGATCGAGGAAAGCTTATAAAACCCCCCTCCTCGCGAGCCATTTTAATATATTTTGAATTTAGAAGCAAGCCTTCACTCATTACTGTCATTTGCATGAACCCTCACTCGTCCAACAAATGTTAATTTGTTGCAACAAAATATTGTTTTCTCATACTCAGAGAAGATACTAGTTTCTTTTTCTTGATTATTTCATTATTTTTCGTTTTTTTTTGGTTATTTTACGTTATTATTAATTTTTACAAAAACTATTTTATTATTATTATTTTATTATATGTTTTTTCATGAAAATCATTTTTGTTTTTTCATGTTCCGGGATGTTCCGGAATGTTCCATGCTCCGGGTTTTATCGACGCCCTGTTAACTAAGATGTAAACTGTGAGCAGAGAAAGTCAAGAATTGTCTAAGTCAACAATCATCAAGCAGAAGGCCAGCCACTTCATGGAAAATCATTTGAAAAGAATTGTATTTTGCGTTGTTATTACATTTGTGTTCACCATGAAGGCACGATTTGTAAAAATCTATACATTTCCCTATATTTATACTCTGATTTTGTGATAGAGTATGTTAGTTCCATTGTTATGCAAAGTAACTGATCATCTTATGATAAGTATGTTTATTTACCAATTAAGTCTCACTCTTAACAGAGTATTGTTACATGCATTTTAATAATTACTTTGTAGAGCATATAAGAGAAAATATGAGGTGGGGGGGGTCATCACGTAAATATGAAATAAAGAAGGGGGGTCGCTTGCTATTTTCATGGTCTGCAGGGGAGGCCTTTCAAAAATTTTGATCTTTCCAAAATATTTTTCCTTCCCCCCCTACATAAATACTATAAATAATGACCGGTCCCTTAGAGGGGATATTTTTGCTGATTAATTTTCATCAAAATATAAACCCTTAATTAATTTAGTCTCAAGCTATTGGCCTTGATTGACCGATATTTCCATAGGAACATGGGGGTATACACTAGTTGTTAGTGCTTTAAAGGGGCTTTGTCACGCTCTTTGCTAAATAGAGAGGAGAAGTGTGACGTCACGTTACTATGGTAGCAAAATGTCTGGATCACAACAATAGGAAGTTCTTGCAATAGCGAAAAAGGAATCGGTTTAGATTGGCAAAAGAACAACTTTGCACGTGTATCACGCATTTTTTTTCCATTTTTTAGCCGTCCAAAAATCACCAAAAAAGTATCATGGTTAGTGCTCTCTGTTGAAATTTGCTTGCTATCTTTTTTATAACTCCACAAGAGCATTTTGTGTTTGGGTAAATGGATTAATTATTGACTTTAGCACAGAATTGACCTAAAACAGCAATATCCTCGTGCCATAGCCCCTTAAAATTAAATTGGATCCTTAAAATGAAAAAAATTTCTTTTCATTCGACTATTGAAGGACGCAGCAGCATAGTATCCTTGGCAACCAAACTCCATCGCCCTCGTTGCACCACGTGATCAAGAAGTAGACATGCTAGAAAGTTCCGCTTAGACGCTTGGCCCGACGTCAAAATGTCCAAGATCGAATACAATAGTTTGCTTTTTGAAATAAGCGAGAGACTAGACCAACAAAATGTGCTGGGGCGGTTGCTTTTTATGTGCAGAGATTTTTTAACACCTGATTCTAGCAGACAAGACAACATCCAAGATACGCTGTCGCTTTTTAAAGAACTAGAAGATCGCAAGTGTTTGGGAGTTGATCGTCTGCGGGTTCTGAAAGACTTGCTCAAAAGTATAAGACAGTGGTCACTTTTTGGCAAAGTTAAAAAATTTGAGAGCACGAGAACAGAATACAATGGATTGATAGAACAGATTATTCTCGTACTCGACGAACTCAATGATATGGAACGACTGATCTCAATTTGCAGACTGGAAACGGAAGCGAATGAAAGCAACATTCAAGACGTTCGATCGTTGTTTAAAGAACTGGAAAACAACGAATGCTTAGGGATTGACTGCCTAGGATTGTTGAAAGAGATTTTGACCAAAACAGAACAAGTCGATTTGTTAAGAGATGTTGAGGGGTTTGAAGCGAGACGAAATCGGGAGGATGAGTTTGAAAGTCGAAAAGGTACTTGTTCAAACTTGTTGTTACTTCCCTGACCTAAACTTAAGAGTGAATTTGAATATTCTAATCTGTTCTCATGTTTGTTATATTTCAGCGCAAGTAGCTGATTTCATGTCGTCTGTCGGTAACAGACTGGTAGGAGGTAAGTCAACTGTTGCAGTAGAGAATTTCATTGCAATTGGTCGCCCAACCGTGTTACTTGTCTCTTGGAATTACCGATTTTCGTCTTGATACGTGTTTCGAGTGTTCGGTGTTAGGGTCCGGGCTCAATTAAAAGCTGAGTCACGCAAATTAACAAATTCAACTATCAGGATATTATTATTATTAGGAAGTTTCCATCAAAGAAGGCGAGATATAATAGCAACCCGGCCTTATGAAAACGGTGAAGGAACCCCCAAATTCTGATGAAACACCGAAATATTTAACATTACATAGACTGACGAAATTGAAATATAAATCATAAAAACTGACTAAACTGGTTGTTTTGTGGTTTTTTAAAACATGTACAGCCAGTCACCCAGTTGCTTTTGTATGTTACCTTGGATTATTATAATGCCTTCAAGAAATACGTATTTACGTGACGAGACAAATTAAAAGGGCGACTAGATTCGGGAACAACAAAATTGTGCTGTGAGAAAAACCTTTCCACTTTTAGAGAAATCGTGAAGAACACAAGCTAAAAACCAATGGAGCCTGGTCTAATTCTTGTTCTTACCTTAATTCCAAGATAAAGTTGAAAGAGAGCATTTGTATTCTATGGTTTTTACGCTGGGCGGTAGGATAAATATGTTAGCTTGACAAACAGTAGTATAGAACTCGAGAACCAAAAGATAAGAACCAGTGATCTACAAGTACAGTGGAACCCCGCCTTACGATCACCTCGTTATTACGACCATATTATTTCGACCCAAACGTAGTGAAATAAGACCCCGTTTAAATGCGACCACCTCGCTATTACGACCAGGATTTTATGGCCCAGCTGTGGTCGTATTAACGGGGTACTACTATACTATTATATCAAAAACGAGGTTCACTACATCTCGGTCAAATTGCATTTCGGTGGCGTATCCGAGACGAACCGGCCGGGAGACCCAGAAACAAATGCAAAACTCTCTCGGACTGGCACGTGGCCCGAAACATATCAGTAATTCATGATCACCACATATGATTCGAAATAACGCGAATTTAGAAAAGCTGAACAGTCTTGAAACAATCAAGAGACGCCACAAGAAGAACTTTGTTTTTCATTTTGATTTTTATTATAGTTTTGACCGTAAAGACGGTATTCAAAGTGGTTGCAGGTGGCATCACAGTAGCTTCTACCCTGGAGGTATTAAGTCGCGGGTCCACATTTGACCAGCTCGTTTCTGCAGTTAATAAGTGCGTGCTTCCTGCTGGCACCAGCCTGATTCAAATAACCGAGGGCTGCGTCTGCCTCACAGTTCAAGCTGAAAATCTTGCATCACTTGAAGCTTTGTGGAGTTTGTATAAGAATGGAACGCTCACATCACGGTTACAGGACTTCTTTGTCACTGAAGAAGTACGCGAAGAACTTGCCGGCGGGGAGGAATTGGAGGTGATTGTGACCATTGAGGAAGGAGAGTACCAGAAGGCTCTTCATGAGCTGTCCAGTGAAATTGAAGGTAACTTATCACTCATGACTACCCCGTCTCCATTTTTACAATAAACGTTTCGAGAATTTTGTATCCAAACCGTCCATTTTAAAGTTAAAGTCAGCTCCCGTTATTCGGCACACCTCGGGGTCGGGTTCCTTATTTTTTAACTTCCATAGAAACTTGCACCTTCACTTTTGGGAATTTGCAAACCTCATGAAAAAAATTAAGTGGGCTGGCCTTTTGGTGTGTCTCTCCACTTTGAGTTCGATACTTGTAAAGACCGTGTTAAATACTTTTGTACACCTTAGGGACTTGTCAGAAATTAGCAGGGGGGGAAGGAGGTGGAGATTTTCAGTTAAGCGATGAAAATAAAATGACCCTCCCTAGGTAAGAGATTAAAATGTACCGACCCTACCCTTCAAAGCGTCCTAAAATTCTATGACCCTCCGCTGAGTCTGAATTCTTATGCAGTGGTACAAGGAACTAATAATTCAGTACTTTCAAAAAAGCAAACTTGTACTAAAACTGACCTATGATGGACATGCAAGTGTTTCGTCTGTTGGGCAAACAGGACAAACGGAAGTTTTTGGTTTAATGGGATGACGACAGTTTCTCCTTCACGACTATGAGAAACAAGGAGAAACAAATTTTCGTCAAAAAAAGTTAGACTTCTGGATGTTTTTTCATTGGAGATCACTTCAAGTGATGCTTCAAACAGGGGCAAGTTTCAAAACAGCAGGCTATAGAAATGGGTCCATTAAAACCTTATCAACCACAATCAAGTAGGAGAAGTTGCCTTTCTACACAAGAAAGATCAGGAAAATAATGATCAGTTAATATAATTACAAGAAAAGAGCACCTGACTCTTTAAGGCAAGATACTCTCAGCCAAAAAGTAGGAAAGGTAAACAGAAGCAAAAAAAGAGGAAGGCCAAGAAAGCAAAAGAGAACAAAATGAGGGCTAACTGTAACTGATAATTAAGAGAACCATTACACCCCAGCGTAATGATAGTGATGCAGCGCCCATAGGCCCCCTAGAACTATATAATGAAGAAATCAGCACTCTAAAGAAGAATCAGTTACCTTAGTTACATTCAAATGCCTTTGACAAGGAACTGTTCACTGTGGCTACAAAGGACATTATCAAGCATGAGAATGGTGATAACGATGGTTGGCATGATGATGATTGCAATGGAGATAGCATTGTTGTTGATAATGATATTCATGATTGTGGTACTGCTGATGTTGAAGCTGTGAGAGAGAGAGAGAGAGCAATTCCTCTGAGATATTTGACCATTGACGTGCAAATGCGAAACATGAGCTGTTAGTTTTATAAGTTGGGTTCATACCCTGGGGGTACTGGCAAGTGGCCGCTTAATGGAGGTTGGCCGCTCAATAGAGGTTCCGTCATAAATTGGTAGTAATCTTTCGCAGAAACATCACTTAATTTTCAAATTTCCTTCACCGTATTCTTGAATAAAGCCAAAGTATGTGTATCAAGCGCTTAATGCATGGCTGCATAATAGAGGTAACAAGAAACAAAACTCTCGTTGGGATGCATGGCCAAAAGGTGGCTGTGGCCGCTTAATGGAGGTTGAAGTGTATGTCAGGAAATAATTGCATGTCATGATTTTCATATATGGCCCGTATTCTCGTAAAACATAATATTGAAGCATCCCTTCACGATCGTGGTGGCTTATTTCCTGTCAGTTTTTTCATAACCTCCCTTTTAATAGACTATAAGGGCTCAAAAAACTGCGACCCTTACCTGTTTTCCACCTCCCCTCCCCTCCTGCTAAATTTCTGACAAGTCCCTTAGTCGCTACCCTTTTATATGCCTAACTTTGGGTCCTGCCCGCTCGGGTAGCAAAATCAGAAAACGGGATTTACTTTATCTTGCCCGCTTGGGGATTCAGCCATATAGACTGCTTGTCACGGTTTTGGAAGCCATCTTGACGAGTAGGCAACCGCGTGAGAAATTACCGTGTTTGTATGAGAATCTAATGTCCAATAATTTCCGTAGAACGGCTGTTCTGAAGAAAAAAAATATTAATTGTAAAAGCTACACAGCAAAGGATTTTACCAACAAATTTTGGGGTCCGTGACTGTGCTTAAATTTCTCCAGACGCTTGTTTTAGATTTTCCGTATATTTGTCTGTAATTTTTCCCGGGAAATTTTAGTCGGTAGGAAAAGAAATTTTTACAGACAAATTTATAGAAAATTTTAAAAAGTGGTTCTAGCACATGTAGTTGCTTGTAACGCCCTCAATTTTTTTCAGTGGGATCGTTAGGAGTGAAGCTTTAGTTTACAATTCATATATATATTTTTTTCAGAACAGCCGAATTATGGTATTTATTAAGTATTCTCACAGAAACACAGTAATTTCCCACGCGGTCTCCTACTCGTCAAGATGGCTTCCAAAACCGTGACAAGATCTATTATTAAGTCCGTTGTAAGGAGTACCTCGCACAATGCTCGTTACACTTGATAATTCGTACCACCTACCCTTACTACTGTGAATTCTGTTACCTGTTTCTCTCTGCATGAGTTTAGAAGGCCCTGATAGTTGTGTAGAAGCGAAACCCATGAGAATTCACCGAAGGAATTCTGATTCTAACCTGTACTGCAAGACGATGGTTAGAGAAGGTTCAGGGCAAACACCTGTTTTAACAGAGAGACGTCCTATCAATCAGTCCAGATACTTGGATCAGGAAAGATTTGCTTTCGTTCAGAATTATCTGGAAAAAGCCGAAGATGCCCGGAGCATGACAACTGAAACAAGTGACAGTGGGATACCAGGAACACATGGCGCTCCTTCTGAGTTCGGACTTGAAGACACGAGCGGTAAGACAGTGAATATACCTCATAAACAGTTACGATCCCGCGGGACTTTGACTGTGATAATCTAAATGTCCGAGTGTCAATAGAGAACAAGTTGCTGCTAAAGTAGATCCGCTCTACCCAGTATATAGTCCTTTAGTTGGTAATTTTGCTTTGAGTGGGAGGCCTATTATATAACTATTAAAGTGTGTTCTGTTCCAGGTTTTACCGAATATCACACGCTTGAACGCCATGTTATGTTTATCACCACGCTTCTCTTTAACAAGAATTTATCTTAGTTTGTTTGTTTTTTTTCTAATTATTTTTAGAATCGTCTTATAAACTTCGCTTGAAAGATCTTCCTGAAAACGTCACCACGAAATTGAAGTGGCAACTTCATAGCGACCCAGTTGCTGAACAGTGGTTTTATGAATCATTTGGGCTCGCACTTCCCAAAGGAGGTAGAGATCCCCAAGTCCTCGAAAACATCGAAATTCTGTTTCCGGAAACTCCTTTGAAATTACTTAAAGACGTGTTTGATGCCTTGCAATTATGTGACCTCGTAGATCTCTTGGAAAGGGAGAAACCACGAACACTTCGTCCTTCTCTTCCACTAAAAGACATAAGGAAAAAGCCTAATTTTATCAACCGTCCTACGAGGTTTTACAGTAAAGCAGCAGTGTTGACAATCGGCACTGCAACAGGTCAAGCCCACAGTTACGCCCAAAGAATTGGGTCAATTTTTAAAGAGTTTAATTCACGGAGCAAAGTAACGCCAATTTCAATAGAGACTATTGCTCAAGTATGTACCGTTCTACTTGAATGGAGAGAAATCAAAAGAAAATTTGAGGTTGGGCTTGCAGGAAACGTTGAGACGACATTAAAAAGGCGACTGCAATGGCTTCACGAGACATCTGAGAAGGGATTGAAAGCGAAAGAAAGTTTAGAGCGGTACGTAGAATTGAGAAAACTAAAGAAGAAAGATAGAAAACTGGCAATTGAGAAAAGGATAAACCAGACGACGGAAGAACTACAGAAGGAGATTGAAAAATTGAAAATGAGTTTACACGATTGGAAAATCCGTAAAGGTTGGTTGAAATTATGTTTAACTCAGTCCTTATCTTGTCAGAACTTGTTTGTTCGTTTGTTTTTCTTTCAACAAATTTGGATACGCAATACACAATGCCACGTTTAGACCCAGGGAAAATTAAGAAAAAAATGGGCTTCAACTTGGCTTTCGCATCTTAAAGCTTGGTTAGGCTACGGAGAGTAACGATTTGCAAACCAAGACCAAGGGGCTAAGGGTGAGTTGATTAAAAGGGTGTGAGAAATGGGTGCGGGGAAGCATTAAGGGTTCGTTATTACATTTGGGCCTTCTAAAAACGATGTGGGATAGAAGTAAGAAATGTTATTGACATTTCCTTGTAAATTGTTGCTCACGTCATCCAAACGAATTTGTCAAGTGGTCATTATCCCAATAATTCCGAACGAAGAGAGGGCGCGAAGCGCTTTCGCAAAAGCGATTTATAATCTCGTCACGGGCTTCAAGGCAGCACATAAACCGCGCGTGGTCTAAGCCAGCTGCTTTCTATCTCTCTCTCTTGATATGAATATATGCTTGGTGACCCCCACCCCCAATAACGTCATGTAGCGTTACGACATGGAGCATTTTGGGTTTCCAGGCAAAATAGACTTTGCCGGCGATTACCAGGAAGCACTTTCATGTTTTTTTCATTAGGTATTCATGAAGGACTGATTTGTTTATTTATCGTCTGTGAAACAATTTTTACGATCGGTGAATCACGAGCAATTTCCCATGCAAATGACACAGATGACAGCATGCACAAAAAGTGGCTGAAGTCCTCGCCGGCGAAGATTTTCCCGTACAGCGAAACTCCTTCGGAGAAGACGACCACAACAAGAGCACAGCGAACGTAACGTCGTCAACACAGCAACCACCAACGTCTTCGGAGGAAGCGATAAAATACTACTATGTACAGCAGCCTTATATATAATCACAGCTGTGTCTTTTAAGTCAACATAAAAATTTATTATTACCGGCCTCCTATTTTCGATCTTATTAGTTCGAAAAGAACATCTGCGTTTCGGATCTCCTCACAGTATTAGAGGGGAGCTTAAGCAACGACGGCAACAACGGCAACGAGAACGGCAAAAAATCAATAGGTTTAGATTGGTAAAACAACAACTTTGCAAGTGCATCACGCTTGTTTTGATGCATTTCTTGGTCGTCGTTGCACGACTACAACGTGAAAGTGTCTAATTTCACGTTTTGTCGAGGACGGGAACACAAGACAACAACTTTCTTATTCTTTTCCTGAACTTTGAAATAGTCCTTTAGAATTCAACTACCAAAAAAATTGTCAAAATTTGACGAATTAAACAAGATAGAATAAGCGCTATAAAGTTTGAGGCAGCGCAAATTATCTTTTCAAGTGACCTTTTCGTAGCCGTCGCAGAACAATTACTAACTTACGTTTTGCTGATGACATTGATGGCCTGGCATGAAAAGAGGAGGAACTAGCCTCGCTGGTGGATCGTCTGGATAAGACCTCTGCAGCCTTTGGCATGGAAATCAGTGCTTAAGCTCCCTAACATTGTTTGACAGGTGTTACCTTGCCAGGAAAATTAAATTCTTTTCCTCGTAGTGGACAATATAAATCAGGGAAAATTTAACTAATTCCATTCTGCACTTAACACTCACGATAAATTCATGTAATAAATGGGTGGAGAGGAAAGCTGTGATGGGAGTTGGGGCATTTATTTTGTGTACCAGACACAGATGACATAAAACAATACAAAAACGACTTGCACTTGAATGGAAGTTCTGAGGCCTGACTTTTTCTTGCACTTAGGCGTGAAAAGATCATTTCTTCTTGAGGTTCTCGTGTTGTAATCATGGCTTATCTTCCCTGACATAGTTAACATAGGAGGAAAGATATTCTGGACCACAGCCATTACAGATTTTGTGAAGAAGGGGCAGGAGGAGATGCAGTGATAAGGAAATGCCGTGATAAGTGCCTTGCACGAAATCTGCAATACGATTTGGCAGACAGGAGAGTGGCCCATACCATGGACCCAATCTCTTATCATCACCCTTCCCAAGAAAGGCAACCTACAACACTGCAAGAACTACCGCACAATCAGCCTTATATGCCACCCAAGTAAAGTCCTGCTGAAGGTGCTGAAGGTCGCAGTAAGACAGAACAGATCTTCAATCTTAGGATACTGTGCGAGAGGTACCTCCAACATCAACAAGACCTCTATCAAGTCTTCATTGGTTTTAAAAAGGCGTTTGACAGAGTATGGCATAAATACCTTTGGTCTACTATGAGGTTTTATAACATTAAAGCCAAACTGATCCAAGTCATTGAAAACCTCTACAACAAGGCCACTGGTGCAGGCTACCTTAATGGTGACGTAGGGGACTGGTCCAGAGCCACAGTCGGAGTCAGACAAGGGAGTCTACTCTCACCAACTCTTTTCAACATTTTTCTGGAGAGAACTATAACTGACGCACTAGAAGATCACCAAGGAACAGTCAGCATCGGAGGCAGAACAATTACTAACTTACGTTTTGCTGATGACATTGATGGCCTGGCATTAAAAGAGGAGGAACTAGCCTCGCTGGTGGATCGTCTGGATACGACCTCTGCAGCCTCTGGCATGGAAATCAGTGGAGAGAAGACCAAACTGATGACCAATAACGCGAATGGTATCAGCATTGACATCAGAATCAACGGTGAAAAATTGACGAGGTTGCTGACAGTTTCAAGTATCTGGGCGCAGTCGTCACAGATCAGGGTTCCAAGTCTAAAGTACTGTCCAGAATTGCACAGACAACAGCAGCACTAGCGAGACTGACCATCTGGAATGCTAAGCATATCTCTCTAAGCTCAAAGATCAGACTAATGCGCTCCCTAGTTATCTCAATACTATTGTACGCCTGCGAAACCTGCCGGACATTGACAGCGGGGATACTGAAGAAATTGCAGGCCACTAAGATGAGATGCTTTAGGAAACTGCTTGGCATCTCATACGGAGACCACATCACTAACGATGCAGTCAGAGACAGAATCAGGCAAGCCATTGGGCCCTATGATGATATCTTAACCACAGTAAAGAAACGCAAGTTAAAGTGGTTTGGGCAAGTATCAAGATCATCATGGCTTCCCAAGACAATTCTACAAGGAATAGTGCAAGGAGGGAGAAGAAGGGGCCGACAAAAGAAGCGTTAGGAGAATAATATCTCTGTGTGGACAGGGTTGAGGTTTTGCAACGCCCTAAAAGAAGCTGAAAACAAAATCAAATGGAGCGAGAGGGTTGCTATGTCCGTGGCACCCCAACGGTCACCTTGGCTATGGGATACTCAGTGCAAGGTGCAAGGAAGAAGAGATAGTTTTCTTGTACGAATGATATCATCAATTGGAAGCCCACCTGACTTAGTAACTAACAAAGCTGAATTATCTTGAAAATTAGCATCCAGTCTCATTCTTGCGCAGCGTTTCTGTAATCATAACATGATTCACTTAGATCCGTGTGTTGTTCCCTTCGTGCGCGAATGCGCGCGAAGGACCCGTATATCTGTAAAGACCTCTCAATCTTTTGTGCCTAAAAAGGCAGGACTTCTACCTTTCAGAAATCTTTTTTCATTAGAACCACTAGAATCTGGAACCTGCTTATTACTAGACTTGACCTAGATAATGTTACTTTTGAGAACTTTAAATCTGTTCTTTACGGTTATTACTCGCGGGCTCTAGCAATAAACTATGACCCGGACTCTCCAAGGAGCTTCAAAAGTATTTGCCTGAAATGTAACATAGCCACGTTTTTAGACCAGGAAACTAGCTGCTGCATGTGATTTAAATTGCTACTTTTATATCTTTTTATTTTTTGGGTCCGCAGTAATTGGCTTTAGCTGTTACGGTGTCCCTGCCCTAATATTTAAGTTATTTTAGTGTATTGTTACGTTCTTGTTACTAGTGTTTGCATATCTACAGTGTTTTTTTTTGTATTCTTCAGGGCAAAGCTAGTAAAATAAAATAATGGTAACAAAATATCCAACTGCTCCTTACAACGGTATTCAAGAATTGGTTTTATGAGGGAATTATACAATAATTTCCAGCAGAGCAAAGATAGAAAAATTTTTGACCTTTTGAGCAGGTTAATTCTGCAGTTCAGCTTGATAATAACATAATCAATATGCAGATTCCAAATGAGATATTTGTTGATCCTAATTCCAAGGAGCTTTTCCCCTATTGCCTCCTCTAGCTTAACATCGTTCAAGATTAAACTCATGCCTGTCATGTCTGCACAACGAAGCTTTTGAGTAGTTCCAATTAACATTGGCTTTGTCTTGTTGTTTTTTTTTTTTTGGCATTCCTTGGGCTTCATCTCGTTAAGGCTGAACCAACAATTCGCATTATCGAGACTTTCTTGCAATTTCTTGCTGTAGTGTAAGTGATTATGTTTGTTACAAACAATTTTAGTTTTGAAGTGTGATTATGTACTACAACAAGTCCAAACACTCTCATTTTCTTCAATTACCAGAAGAAAAACCGAGTGAGCAAAGTTTTTAAGGATTTTAATCCCGAGATTTAAGGTACATTTTGTGTGTTTTTATAGTAAGGAAAGTCCGTTTGAAATGGAAATGCATCAATTAGCATTGTGTTATTGACCTTTTAGTTGAAGTTGATGTGTAATTCAAGTATTTTGGGGAAACGCGCTTAGATTCGAGACTGAGACAGCTTTGTTATGTAGCTTTCATAACAGTAGTTCGAATTCTAACAACGGTCGTAAAACATCTAAATTGCTCATGCATCGCCTGAGCGCTTGGTTGTGCCGGCGATTTTTTGCAATTTTGCTGGACTTCTCCGAACAAATTTCGATACGAAGCTAGTTAATTTTGAGATAAACTAACATCAAATCCAGCCAGGACTCAAGTTAGGACTTTTCTAATCTTTCTTGTTATCAACAAATAAACAACAGTAAAATAAAAGTAACAAAAAACCCCTAACTTAACTCGTAGCCTCCTAACCCTAACCCTAACCTTGCGTTAACCCTAACCCTAACTCGAGCTTACCTTCCATGGTTGCGACGAAAACCCTCCTCTTAATGGTCATGGGACTTGAAAGAGGGGGAAATGGCGGGAAAGCGAAAAATTGTCGAGTCCTGGCTCGGTATATAGATATCCTCTTCAATTTCTTTTTAAAATAAGTGTTACCTCTCATTCTAAAGGAAATACAATCAAATGTTCTCATTTCTACTTTACGTTTATTGCAAAAATGTTCATACAATTATGATTATTTAAATTTAAGTTTGTTTTTTAGAGCCTTTTATAGTTAGTGTTTATAGTTGCGGCTATAGTTTTCCCTTAAATTATTATTTTTCTGAAATATAAAGAGCAAGTAGACAGAAGCCATTCAGAATAAAAACAAAAAAAAAACGTTTTGCAATTTACCTTAAGACGGAGAACGGTTGATTCAGCGAAAGAAAAACTCAAAGGCAAGTTTTTGAAAAACATGATTTGTTTGCGCGCGTTCAGATGACAGCATGATCAACTCGACTACAGTACTGGTGACACAAACGAAGGCAAATGGAAATGTTTTCTCTTTTGATTATGTTGTAAAAGAAATGGTAAACGTTGCAGCTGTGCAACCATCGAGTTATGGATGCACTTGGGATATTTGCTAAGCACTCAAGAAGCTAGGGTTGCATCCGGCTATTGCCTCGTGTAGCTCGTACGCTTCTCTAATTCGTGCTTAGCAACCTCCCGCGTGCATCCATTTAACAAACAGATTTCATGTTGCCGTGCGTATGTTCAGTAATAGATCACAGATGACGTCAAAATGTGGTAAAAACAAAAAAAGTGACACGCAATACGCAGGCGAGTGTGTCACTGACGTTTTTACCTTTTTTTTACGTCCTCTGTGATCTAACCAGGCTGATTTAGCAACAGAACGGAAACGTCATTTGACGACGGGAAAGCGCGCGGAAACGACTAAACTCGACTTCAGGTGCCGAATTTACCGATCTGCCATTGGTCAAGCCAGTTGTTTGATTTACGCGCGCAGTCGTCAAATGACGTTCCCGTTCTGCTGCTAAATCAGCCGACTGAACAGACCCACGACAACATGGAATCTATTTGTTTTATACAATGATCTGAAAAGAAAAAGGACTGATACACTTACGCTTACCTGCCTCGTACCGCATGACTGTCCCAAACGCTACTTTCCATCTCTTCTGATTATTTTCTATATCTTACTTGTATACAGTTTCTTCGAAAGGTTTTTCAATATCTTTCCTGGCTCAAAGCAGAAAAATGGTGAAAACATTTCGCAAAACAGCGAGTCCCAGGTAGCGATGACACGCGATGGGAACTGTTACGCAAATTTCTTGTAGTTTAGGCATTCTCAACTAGTCAAGAGCTCTTTTTGTCTCCTTTTCTCTATTTTTCTGCTTTGTAAATAGCTCTTGCTAAACTTTTTGCGAGGCTTTCACTTGCTTTAATCCGAAATAATCTCACAAAACATTTTCAAAACAGACGGCCAAATTGAACAAAAAAAGAAAACACGTTTCCGGTGACGTCATACATGTATCTGTACTCTAATAATTAATGGGCCACGACCAATCACAGCGCGTGTAGCATTCACATGATTGTATAAAACTCGATGGTTGACGCTGCACGTTTATTATTTCTTAAACTGAGAATACCACCTGCAGTGGCGGATCCAGGGGAGGGGCCCCGGGGACCCGGTTACCCAATGTTATTAATAGACCAAACTGAGGCACTTAACAGAATCAGGTCAAAAATCGACAAACACCTGCGACCCAATCAGAATGGATTTCGTCCTGGACATTCAACAATAGCACACATATTGGCACTGAGACGACTAATTGAAGGTGTGAAAAGTCATAACTTGAAAGCTGTTCTGGTATTCATAGACTTCAAAAAGGCGTTTGACAGTGTACGCAGGGGAAGAATGCTGCAGATCCTGACATTCCGGGAAAACTGATTGATGCAATTGGCTTCCTTTACCAGGGAACGAAAGCTAGAGTCATAACATCCGATGAAGAAACGGACTTCTTTGAAATACATGCTGGGGTTTTGCAATGAGATACCTTGGCACCTTACATCTTCGTTATTGTGTTGGACTAAGCAATGAGACCAGCCATATTTGAGAGAGAGGAAGAACTTGGCTTCTCGATTGACCGAAGGAGGAGTCGTCGTCATCAAGCAATGGTCATAACCGACACAGACTTTGCGGAAGGCATTGCCATCACCACAGAGGAGATACATCAAGCTCAAAAAATGCTGGCATCAGTGGAACGTGAGGCAGCGAAAATCGGATTATATCTTAAATCTAAGAAGACGGAAGTGGTGCATTTCAACCAGGGAGTAGGAATAACCATCAAGGCAAAGAATGGCGAAAGTCCGAAAGGCCCTGGCATGGTCAGTTTGTCACGAGTTGAGGCAATTATGAAAATCAGATTTAAGAAGAAGCATCAAGGAGCGGCTTTTCATGGCCTCTGTAGAATCTATCCTGATTTATGGAAGCGAGACATGGGCAGTCACGAAAGCTATGGAGAAGAAACTAGATGGATGTTATACCAAAATGTTACGTATGGTATTTAATGTGTCTTGGCAAGATAAATTGACCGATAAAAACTTGTATGGTAATTTACCACCAGTGTCATCAAAAATGGGTTTCAGAAAGCTGCAGCTAGCCGGCCGTTGCGTTAGACACCCAAAGGAGGAAGCATCTAAACTAGTACTTTGGCAGCCAATGAGTGGGCGCATGAGCGTGGGAAGACCAGCTGTTACTTATATAGATAACCTGAAAAGCGATACCAGCTTGCACAGCGCGGAAGAGCTGGGAACAGCTATGATGGATAGGGAGACCTAGAAGAGGCGAGCTGAATCGAGGCGTGCTCTTGTTCAACCATAGTAATAGTAGTAGCCCCCACCTTATCTCAGGGTTTGGATGATTGGGCCTCCCCTTACCTGAAGGTCTGGATCCGCTGCTGACCTGTACGCGCGGTACGCACGTGCGTCCCTGAAAAAGTCGTGCACAAAAAAGATATAAAATGAAAATATAAAAGAAATTCTAAAAAGAAAGCGAAATATCTAAAGATAATTATCTTAAGAGCACATTTTGCCTCAATTCGTTCAATTCTGGTTGTTTCTTTGAAAAATATAAATTTTTCTTTTCTCGAAAACAATGTTTTCTTTTTCCTCCCCATCTAAATGTCGGTTTCTATTGAAAAGAATAAATTCATTAATGGACCGAATCTTGAATAACACATATCTAGTGAAAAGAGAGCAGGTGTTTTTACTAAAAACGTATTCGGATTTCTAACCGTTTACGCACATTGATAAATCCTGGAAGCAACGACGAAGGCGTCGGTAACGGCGTCGGCAATTAGCAAGAACGTCATCGAAACAAGCCCAATAGGTAAATGAAAAAAAAAACTGCACGTGCGGCGCGTTTTTCTTTACCTATACGAACAGGACGTTAAATTTCCTTTTGTGACGTTGTTTGGAGGACGTCAACACAGGGACAAATTCAATTTCTTCTCTTCCTGAGCTCTGAGTCCGAACTTGGGTGCGGTCCCCACGACTCAGCCCCGTAGGGGGAATACACCAATATTTAAGAGAGTTGAAATTAGCGCGATAAAGTTAAAAAAAAAACGCGCATTCATTTTGATAGCTAGGGGCATTTCCGTTGCCCTTGCCGTCGTCGTTGTTAAGGCGCCCTATGCTCACGAAAGGGACAGTTCCATTGTGGTTTTACCGCAAACTCGTATGATCATGATGATCAAATGCGGAAAAGCATCCCGATCTGATTCACTTTAGTTTTCGGATTCAAAATCTATAAAGACTTGACCAAAATCAGCATCTTTTCAATTTGGATTCACGCTCTGCATCTGCTTAAAACGTGAAAACGAACCAAGTACAAAATTACCCGGATTCCTGACGAATCCGGGAAGGTATGGAGATGATAGATGGCTGACGTGCATCAGTCAATGGACCCAAACACGCGACAAAGTATTTTACAAGTTGCTAATGTCATTTCATATGCAGAAAAAACTCTTAGGCTTACAACGAAACCAGGTTACGGTTCCTGTGATTGTTTTGAGGAGGATTTCTTCATTTCAGTAGGATTGCAATGTAATGCGTTTGACTTTGTAAAACCAAGAGCCATGTATAATAGGACTATTATGGCTCTGGGTAAAACGTATTGTTTGAATAAAGCGTAGGACAAATGCAGCCAGTCAAATGTTGGGAAGAAATAGTTATGCAAATGTACTTACGCAACTGAAGGCGAAGATTGCGTCCATCGCCATACGTGCCATACGGCTATCCTGAATGAAAGAAATTTCGTCTAGTCAGTTATATTTAGTAACTGGCCACACAAAAAGAGACTGAATGCTCGAGTAGTGTGTCGCTAAATCTAACTGCCACGCGACATAATGGATACGGAAGCGCGCGCGGTGGAGCCCCATTAAATAAATTGGTAATCTATGAAAGCAAGAAAATGTGGTTATGACGTAGCGTATGCCCACCGCCCGCCCGCCCGTACACACACTTCATGTAAGCTGATGCCAAATGTCAGGTTATTTTGGTGGGAAAGGGTATGGCCACCAGCGTTTTATGAGGCAGAGACACTAAATAGTCAATAAAGACGAAAACGGAAAGTAGAAAATGTTTCTGTATCCGTGTTGTCTAAAGTATTAAGTTTAGATTAATTTTCATGTCCACAAATTTAGAACATAGAGAAAGAGAAAACAGAGGAAAAGAAAAAGTAGGGCGACAGGCCAGCGAAGCTCAACGAGAAAAAGAGCTTTAGCGAGAGAGAGAATACAATGGAGACATTTTTTGTTGGAGGAACAACATGAAATTTTGTAGCGGCCGTGAGAAAATGAGAAATGATAGCGGCCACCAGGGTGAAAATGAGCGACAGAGAAAAGTGAACAGGAACACGTACGACATTTCCTCCATAAAACGTGTAACGAGGAAGTTTCTGGAAGTTTTACGTTGTAGTCGTGCAAAACAACCGCAAGGAAATGTACAAAAAAAGTTTTTTTTGTTGTTAATTAGACCTATTGTTGTTTTTTCACCGTTCTCGTTGCCTTCGCCGCTTAGGCCTGGTTTTCACTAGCGCATAAGCATAAACATAAGCATAAGCACAAGCACATGTGTAAGCAAGTGAAAACTCCCGGTGAAAACTGCGGTGACATAAGCATAAGAATAAGCACAAGAAAAACAGACAAGTTCGCTCTTCTTGTGGTCATGCTTATGCTTATTTCGTAGCTTTGACTAGTGTAAACGAGGTCGACATAAGCAAGAGCATAAGCACAAGGCCGTGGACCAGTCATAGGTCGCTTTGACCCAGACCTCATGCGAACATATCAAAAGCAATATGGCGGACGCTTCGTGCGCCATTTAGTTTATCATCGGGTTGCAGAGAGCTGGTATCGAGAATTGGTCAAATATACCATTCTGCGCAAATTCTGCGCGTGTGTATGTCCTTATGCTTATACTTATGCGTTAGTGAAAACCAGGCTTCAGCATTACACGATTTTACATTTTGTTTGAGCAAACTATGTCGAGAGCTTCGCTTTTAGCCCTGGCTAAATCTATATTAATATTAATTTTCACGGCATTGAAAACTGGTAAGAAATAAATTATGTTATTCAGTGTAACTCACTTGTCCCATTCTTTAACACTAGCATTATTTTGATATGGACCGCGGTTTGGTGCTTTCTCGCTTCTACAGCGTTAAATCCTAATGGGGGTGATTGACAACTTTCCAAGCCTATCTTTGATCGAAGTGGGTCTATATTTCTTTGCTGATCATTAATTACCTCGATAAAACAATTTTTTAGCATTCAAGGTACTTTTCACCCTACCGTTACCTTCTTACGTTAAGAATAGATTTGTTGGACTGTCAACCCTCCACGTCTTCAAATACTGAGAATGGATAAGGAAGGGATGATAGATGACGGCATAACGCACGGCACATGACGTCATTTGAGCAAAAACAACACGTTGACTCCGATCGTCATGAATCTGCGATGACACAAAAGGCGCGGAAAAGATGTCGTTGACATTTTAACAATTGAAATTTCCACAAGTCACATTATTACATTACAATGGCAAACCGCATGCACTGAGGAAACGTTCGATGTTAACATTTTAAAAATTGCTCAAGCGAAGCAAAATATTTCAATTTTTTGTCAGAAAGTCAGTTCTACTGCAGAAGTGGCAAACTTCGGCCATCATCTGGACTGGATTTCGTACTTTAATCTGGAGACCGAAAGATACGGTGAAAACTCTAGTGCGTCCCTGATTATCGAGATTATCCAGTAACAGTATCTTTATTGTGCCTTACTCTCCATATGGAGCCATCGGTCCGTTTACAATAAAGGTCTTTTACATTTAAGTAACAAAAACGTCTAACTAAATTAACTAAATGATACAAACACCATAAAATAACTAAAGGTTTTATATCAGGTTACATTTTCAGTAATTCTTTTCTCTAGCTTTTTGAACATTAGATTTATACATTTGGCTATAATTTTACGGTATCATTATTATCTGCTGATAATAAATATTTTATTCTGTCATGGGCAGTAAGATTCACAAAAGCAACACCCTTACATGAAATATCATTAAATAAATCCTGTCCCAATTTCCTGTATCCATTGCAACACATCAAGAAGTGTTGTTCATCTTCGATCTGGTTTTGCTTGCAAACCAGACACGTTCTTTCTTCTACAGGTATTGCAACTTCGCAATTTTCATACTTTCCAGTTTGTATCCTTAGTGTATGGGATCCTAATTGTAGTTTTGTCGGGCGTATCCTGTAGGCTGGGTTTTCTATTTCTTGGAGATAAATTGATACGATTTTTAACTTCTTTAAAAGTGATTTTTTGTCTTGAACTTAGGTAAACACTATTTTGGTCATTGAGCCAATTTTGGGTATACCCTTTCTTTAAATCTGTTTGAAATTTCATGCGCGCATTCTTGATGCTTTGTTTTGTTAATTTTCCGCAGAAGATTGTGATTTGAAATCTTGATTATCTAAGACATCGAAATTATTATTGAACTTTAATGCATTTTGAAATGTTTCACGCAAGAAAGGGTGAACAGTGTCATGCTGCAGTCTGTGCTGATAACTAAAATTTGCAGTTTTAATATCAAGGTGAAGTGGAAAACTTCCTTGTTCTGCTCTACACGCTGTATTTTCTGTATCAGTACCAGGGGACGTTAGTGATCACGTTACAGAACCGTATGTTAACTTGTCCTATAGTGCTTCTATCAAATGTTGTTTTTATATGATAATAGTTCGGGACCCCAGATTTCGCAGCCATACAGAAGTACAAGTTTAACAGGGGCATCAAATAATTTGTTCTATATAGAAATCGTTACTGTGTTACTGTTTGCAAGTAAACGGTCTATAGAGTGTTTTCACTCACGTGGCCAGCATCTATGCAAATTTATTGGGACAAAAGAAAGTGTTTGCATAAGAAAAGAGTTCAACTCCCAAAGGATTGGTTTGGGACACCAACATGGCCGCCGTTTTATTGTTTTGGGACACCAATATGGCCGCCGTGACGTCATGTGAAAACACTCTATTGCTGCCAGTACTTTATACGCTTTTTTGCCTAGAACTTCCCTTGCATAGGTATAACGACCGGATGAAGTCCCTTCTAAAGCCTAAGAGTGTCTGTTTATCGACATGCAATATTCAAAAAGTCCTTTTGATATTTGAAGCTTACTTTTTGTTTGTTTTGGCCGTTTCCACTAAATGTCATGATATTTGATTTCTTTATATTTTCTGTAAGTCTCCAGTGATTGGCATGTTTGTCTATGGCGTCGAGTGATTTTTGCAGTCCTTCACTCATCACCAAGAGGCTTAAGCTAGGCTTAGGCAGATTAGGCAATTGAAAGATTGATTTCCTAGTGTAACTCCTTGACATTTCTCTTCTTTGAGATACTGTGGTATATCATTCATGAAAATGGAGAAAAGTACGGGACCTTAATCCATCGCCTTGTCTTATTTCTTTGTTACATTGAAACATTTCTGTTATTTCGCCACTGTCAACTTGAATACAGCTTCTAATTGATGTATACATGGAATGAATACCCTCAAAAAGTTTCCTTTTATTCCGCAATTACCAGTTGTAGCTTTCGCTAAGTGCCAACGAAAGAAAAAGAATTTGCCTGCATCACCGGTTTTTGTTCCAATGTTTATAAAACCATTTGAGCTGCTGAGGCGAGAATTTCCACCACAAGCCTCCTCGTTCATACATTTCTGCCATGCTCTTGGCCTTAAAATCGCTCTTATTCTTCTGCTTAGACATTTGGAACCTTAAAGTTGTCGAGTTTCAAACAGCGAAAGGGAAATAACATTTATACGTTAGCGAGAACTTGAAATAGCGAGTTGTAGTTCGTACAAGTACTCCTGGTGTGCCAGAGAGCAATGGCCGAACTCTGAAGGTTTGTTTACACCAAAAAAGGTCATCAAAAGTCACGTGAAACTAGGGAATCTACACCTTACATTACGCTTTTAACTGAACTACACGATCGAGAATTTTTCTGCCTGCTGCAATACTTCGCGTGGCATTAAGCTGGCCGCCTCGCAAGCCGACCGTCTTCGCTCGGCGTGCTCGTTGGCAATAAACCATATTTTAATAATGCAAACACTGCCAAACGCTTACTCATAGTCAATAAATGCAACATATAGTTTTTTATGGTTTTTGGTGTACTTATGGAGTACCTGTTGTAAGAGCCGGGACAGTTGATAGGGCTGAATTTGTGAATTTCTTTGCAATAGCTTAAAGTTTATTGGTTTACTGAGTTTAAAGAAATTAAAAGTATGTATTAACAGTTACTTGTTGCTTCACCCCTAGATGAAGAATCCGCTACCCTCTTTGTCGTATTGGTAGATTTTGATACGTATCCTACCATTCCGTATGACGTTCAGACGATGATACTGTCACGTTTAAAAGAGAAGTTGGCACTTATTCCAGACGGACCAAAGTTGGTGATTTTTCCTATACCCGAGGACGTGATGACATTTAAAGCAATCCCAGAGGTACTTGTTGTGCAGCACGGTCCTGCCTACAGAAATGAGGATTTTCAAGAGACCTTGCAGGAGGTTTTCCGCAAGCGTTTGCAAACACTGGACCTCGTCTCAATGATGTACGAGGTACAAAGGACGTTCCCGCTTAAGACATTTAGTTCCCTACACTACAGGCGTCCAATTTCGTCGATTTGTCATGACTTCAGCAGCAATATAAATAATACGATAATAGATGACCGTTTGTCTTCACTGCCAAGACTTCAAAAGACGGAGGAAAACTCGAAAACATGATGAAACCCCAAATGGCCAACCTGTCCGTTTAAGCCTTTTCAAAACTTCCCAATAGGACTCTGTTGGATCAACTTCTTTTCAGTTCCACTGTTGTCATTAGCAGAAAAGAAACTAGAAGAAAAGAAACTTTCTTCGTGACGAACGGCACGTGAGGGGAATACTAGGAAGAAGTGAGGGAAGAAGAAATAATCGAGAACAAGCACTTGAACTTCCAAAGTAAAATTACTTATAGTTGTTTCTTCTCAGAACTGTTATTATCTAGGATAAGGAACTACTGACGGGTATATCAACATTTTTTTTCAGTGACCTTAAGTCCCTAGGAAGACCAAACAAATCAATCGCACTATATATTAGCCTGCGTTACAGCCGGCCCACGTATCGTCGGACCATGGTTTACAGTGTCTGCGACGCAGGCTAACAATATAAGCGCTATTTTAAACTTGAACCAACACGTGTACAGTACAGTTTAATTTTAGGTATTATTGAATATTAGTTAACACTGGATTTCCTCAATTTTGACTCCAATGACCAGGTTCTTCAAAACTAAGGGTCCAAACGCTAGCCTTCAGTGAGCCGGCGCACTTACAAAGAATTTATTCCACGACCTCAGCTCTTAAACGATTATCTCGTATTGTCCCCGTGAATACGATTACGTTCCTATATAAAACGTTTCTAGTTAGTAATACAGTTTTAGTTATTGATCTAGGTAAGGTGCAGAGCGATAGACTCGAAGATGCTAACTATTATTAATATCTTCAGAACTCTATTTAGGTATAAGAATGAAAGCTACGAAAGCTTACTGAATCTCGGGGGCATGAATACTTTGAAACACCATCGTTATTACCAGACCACATATACCTCTGAAAAAGGCTCTTTCCAAGCGCGAAAATCACTCTACAAATGACGCATTCTGATTGGTCGAAATTCTGCGAATGGCGGTGAAGCTGAAGACACCCAAGTTAGCGACAATGGCCTTTCAACTATCATATTACAGGAAACGTACTCTGTTTTGACTTATGATAATTCTGAAATTGGTTTAGCCAGATTAATTTCTTTTCTATTTCTATCCATTCCTAATTGCTTTATGTGTTGATTTAGCTGTACCCGTTTGGTGCCCTTACCTCGTCAAGGACATTCGCGCCTTGGAGAGTATACAAAGAAGGGCATCTAGATTAGCACTTAACGAACACAAAGGAGAAATGCCTTTTGTCGATCGTTGTAAATTGTTGAATTGGCCGTCGCTATCTGACCGTAGAAGTTATCTATCTTTAAATGAGTGCTAATAGTGCGTCTTTGGATATTATCATTTTAATTTTTATGATTTCTTCGGATTCTCAAAAGTTGGGTCTACAAGAGCGAATCACCCCTTCAAATTGTATGTTAAAAGCGCTAGAATTGATTGTTACAAATATTCTTTTTTTTATTAGAATAGTTTCAAAATGGAACGATTTACCAAGAGACATAGTAGAGGCTGAAAGCCTTCATCATTTTAAACATAAGCTTCATCATTATCTATTTAATAAATTTTAAACTAGAACCGTGCTTTAATTAAGGCCTTGATTTTTGAATACTTGTATTGTATTTGATGTTTTTATTTAGCATTTTCTATTTCTGTCTGGGAGTTCTTATATAGGGCTAACCTCTCAACTTCCTTTTAAAGATGTCTTTTAATATTATGTTTTTCCTGTAAATAAGCTTGTTTACATCTTGAATAAAGTTAGTATGTATCTATGTATGTATGTACGTATGAACATGTTTTAATCGTTGGTAGTATTAAACTTTGAAAATGGGACGCCAGTAGACTGTTTTTGCCCTACTTTTAAGGGCTCAAAACATGGTTCTAGTTATCGAGGGTAATATTACAGGGGCACCCAACGAGAATATAGTTCAAAACCACTTAAACATACAATTGTTAAACGTATTTTAGTATTAAAACGGTAGATATAGGCATATTTTCATCCCCTAAAAATTTTTCATCTGTTCGGATTTCCTAGCGGAAAGTCCAGTGATCCGAAAATTATAGGGATCAAAACTTACCTTTTCGAAAATTTCAGCCAGAAAAAAGGCTCTCGAAAATTCTAGGTGACCTTTTTACGGTAAAAATCGGTTAAAAATGGGCAATTATACCATTTTCTAGATGTTCGAAAATTCTAGGAGAGGCAGGCAAGCAAGAAATTTTACAACAAATGTTCCGAAAATTCTAGATCTCAAATCGTCTTCCGAACAGATATTTTCCGAAAATTGACGTTGGGTGCCCCTGATATTATATGGAAATGATCTGAGGGGAAACAAGAACTACTTCGAGTTATCGAGGGTTCGAGTTACCGAGGGTAAAATTACGGTAAATGTATGACAGAAATCCAGGGGAATTCGATTTTGGTTCGAGTTAGCGAGGGTTCGAGTTATCGGGAGTCAACTGTATGTAAAACATTTGGTAGTTTTCACGTTACGTCATCGCCGCCATGCTGGTGGACGGTAAACAAAAGATCGCTCATTAGCTCGCTTTGTTTGTCCACCAGCATTTGTTCATTTCACCATTGTTATTTGTGTCTCCCGAGATTGCATGAAAACCATCTATAGCCCACTTTCGATATATTAAAATTCTAACATGACTCCGAGACTTTCTGATCATTTTTCTGTACTTGGTTTGATTTTCTTTGCCCTCAAGTCTCTTCAGGGAATTGCGAGACAATGGAGTTGTGAAAAATTTGCAATTTTGTCCCTAGAGCTTCGAATTCAGCCTCCAAAAATCAGCCTCGTTGTGTTCAGCATTGAAGATCCTGCTGATAGCTCGATCTTGACAAAAAAAGGAACGTGCCTCTCTCGACCAAGGCTGTGTGTTGTGGGGCTTACGTGTGGTTATCCCTGAGAAGTATCGTGCTTGTCTGTTGGATTACTTGTACGAAGAGCATCACGGGACCTGAAATGGACTTCAAAGCCATGGGATTGTATGCGCATTGGTTTCTTTGAGAAGAGCAAGTTGAATTTCTTGATTGTTGTTGATGCTTTTTCCAAGTGATTGGAGGTAATCCCCATGAGTTCTATGACCAGCTTGAAAACCATTAAGGTTTCGCGCGCGTTGTTTGCACGCTACGGAATACCGGAGGAGTTGGTTTCGGACAACGAGCCGCAGCTAGCATCTGAAGAGTTCACTCAATTCTTGAAGCAGAATGTAGTCAGGTCCTCCTGGGTTCCACCTTACCATCCCGCACTTATTGAAGCTGCTGAACGTTCTGTATAGACGGCCAAGGCGGTTTTGACCAAGCAAGTGCTGAATGGCAAAGCGAATACCCTCAGTCTAAAACATAGGCCAGCCAATTTTCTTATTCTGAATAGTAGCAGACCTCAAATTGTCACTGGGCAATTTCCCGCTGAACTGTTTATGGGACAGAGCAGTAGAGCAGCAACAGTTGAAGCCGAAAGAGCACCTGGATGAAGGACGAGCGAAGTTCGGAGAGTTTAACGAGGTGTTCTTGGTTCGTAATTGGAAGCGTGGAGTTGAACGGTGGATCCATGGAAGGATCACTCAGGTGAAAGGCTCCGGCACTTACCTAGTTCGCTGTGGGAGCCAAATACGATTTGTTCACGTGGACCATTTGAAGATTGCTCCCTGTATCCAGTCTTCAAACTCTTGGGAGGGAGAGGAAGAGAGTAATTACGCCGAAAACGTGCTTAGTGCACAAACAGAAGTGCACGGTGGATTAAGGAGTCCCTCGGAGCCACTGGTTAGTACATCCGAGGCAGGAGCAGTTGCAGATGTAGGTGACGTGGCGGAACACGAGACAACCGAGGAGACACAATAATCATCGTTGGGCGACGCTTTAGAGGATGAGCAATTTCCTTAGAGGCACGACCTTAACCGCACCCAGCACCGAGTTACACGTACCCGTGTTGAGAAAGAAGAACACCACGCAGACTCATATGTGACATGTGAACATTCTTTTAGAAGATGACGAACACTGAACATTGCTTATCTGTTAGATTTGACTTGTATTAGTTGTTGTTGCCATGTTAACCAACCCATTTGTTCGGGAGGAGTGTAATATATTAGGTTCCAGACCTCTTGTATTTAAGGCAGGTTTCGCTCATGCGCGGTTGCATCAAAGCATGACTAGCTTTAATAATTCGTACAGTACATAAAAAGGAAATTGATGTTTAATGAGTTTTGAGTGTTTGGAAATCAGATGAAAAACTGCTCATTTTTGCATCTTTTTAATAATGCAAAAATGAGATGTATATATTCAAATATCTCCTCCTAAAATAATTTTGTTGGAGAAGTAATATCAAGCCTCAGTTCTACAGTGTTTCATCACCAGATGAAAAACCTCGAAGTTCGTCAAAAATACAGTTACCCCCCCAGTATCGCCTTGCGGACACCCCGCTATTGCGGACGCTCTCTATTACGGACAAAATCCAGATACAGCTCTTTGACTAGAAAAGACTCCCTCCATTACGGAATTACGGACAGTTTCTTAGTACCAAAGTGACAATTTTATTGTTTTGATTCTCAATACAGCGGAGACGCTTGTGCGCTTATTCTTACTGGAGAGGGTTTTTCCCTTTCCTGGTCGCGAAATAATTATTTGGGGAGCAAGGGGATGGCGCAGTGGTGAGAGCGCTCGCCTCCCACCAGTGTGGTCCGGGTTCAAATCCTGGCGTCGACGCCATATGTGGGTTGAGTTTGTTGTTGGTTCTCTCCCTTGCTCCGAGAGGTTTTTCTCCGGGTACTCCGGTTTTCCCCCCTCCTCAAAAACCAACATTTCCAAATTCCAGTTCGACCAGGAATCAGGTAGACGAAGAACCACTTTGTGGATGTGCTACCTCCAAATCATTATTTATTTACTTATTTATTTATTAAACTTTAAAAACTTGATGACTAGTTCCCGCCATTACGACATTCTCGTCAAAACTCGTCGTAGAATGACGACGGATGACGTTGGTTCGCGCGCGCGGGACGACTTAGTATGGAGAGAATCTCGTTCTCCTTGTCGTCCTCGTCTCAAAATCTAAAACGAACGTAGTTATAATGTTATTTGTAATATTATTGTATGTTGACAGCACTTTTTTTCTCCCACCCCGCTATTACTGACATAAAACCGCGGTCCCGAGGGTGTCCGCAATAACGGGAGTTAACTGTACTAAGCTGCGTGTCGTATTTTCAACTCTCTTCTCAGTGTTTCGTCTGGTGATGAAACACTGCTTCTCACGCTTGATATATTACATCACAGAAAGAAAAGAAAAGAAGCTACAAGAGATGAGATGAGAGAGCTCTAGAAAAATATTCGTGACTAATGCGTAATATTACGCAGCAGCTGTGTTTAGAAAAGTCATGGAGGGCAATGAATCACTCTTTTAACGTTATTTTGTCCCTCCATATGGGAAAAAATTGATGTTGCTTTGATTAGGAAATCACCCCTTTAAAAAGGAAAATTTCACGATGGAGCCATTTTACTTAATTAACAGAATCCTTCAGCCTGTTTTTTTGTTGGGAAATTAGGGCTACTGTTTTTTGAATCTCACTGGGGCTGAAAAAATTTAAATAAGAAAGCAGAAAGGAAATGAAGTTTGGTAGTTGTAGTTAAATGATGCCATCTTATAAATGGCCCATTGTGCTATTGAAAGCTTTTCACTCTCTATGTTAGGCTTACTAACAGGTAAAATTCATCGTTATGAGATGAGAGAGCGCTAGTAAAATATTCGTGCATGACTAATACGTAATATTACGTAGCAAGTGTGTTTAGAAAATTCACTGTGTGCAATTAATCATTCTTTTAGTGGTATTTTGTCACTCCTTATGGGAAAAAAACTGATGTTGCTTCGATTAGGAAATCACCGCTTTAATAGGACAATTGCACAATGGCGTCATTTTAAATTGTTTTTTTAAACCTCACTGGGCTTAAAAAAATTTAAATAAGAAAGCATAAGGAAATGAAGTCTGGTAGTTGCAGTTAAATGATGCCATCTTGAAATGACGTATTGTGCTCTTTATGTTAGTCTTGCTAACAAGTAAAATTCATCGCTAACTCTTGCGACAACAGTTAAAAAGTCAGAGCAGTCCAAAAATCTTACAAAGCTCCAATTCAAGAATGGTGGGCATCTTCGAATCGGGCAGTACAGCGTTAAAAGTTATAGAAGCTGGAGCAATGATTGCATTAAATATTTTGTCACTTTTGGGCAACATCCTTGTTTGTTTGTCAGTTTACAGAAATAGCAGTCTCCGTACCACAACGAATCTGTACATCATTGCATTGGCTGTAACTGACTTGATAGCTGCAACTCTGGTCATGCCTCCAGCGACTGGAGTTCTTATCACAGGAAGGTGGCCTTTTGGGGAAACGGCTTGTCAAATACACGCTTATTTCAGTCTGTTTGTTGTGTATGTTTCACCTGTGACCATGGGTCTTACTGCACTGAACAGGTACATAAGAATATGCAAATCAAATAAAAAACATAGTCTGTACTTTTCGAAGAAAAAATCTCGTATTTTTCTTGGATCTGCCTGGACATTTGTAGCTCTCTACATTTTAATTCCTCGCCTTACTGGTCTACAAGATTTTCATTTTGTACCGAACTATGCAGCTTGCTTAAACAGTCACTTAAGTAATTTTGGAAAAATACTTCACTACATTGTCGTTCTAGGCTTGTTTTTTGTCCTTCCGCTAACTGTGACAACATTCAGCTACAGAAATGTTTTGAAAAAGATTCGGGAACACAATGCTGGAACAGCGCAAAGTCTTCGAGCAAACAACAACGAGACAGTCACCACAAACGAAATTCGACTAAGCAAGTCTCTGTTTGTTGTCGTCTTTGCCTTCATGTTGTGTTGGGTACCCGCTTGGGTCATCACCATCCTGACCAGATTGTTTTTTGGCAATAAAATGCCTCGCAATGTTCAGTTACTTTGCACATTTTTCGTAAATATTTCGAACGCCATCAATCCCTTTATTTATGCGGGAATGAATCCTGTGTTTAGAAGAGAGTTTCGAAAAGTACTCGGATGTAAATTTGGAGTGAGAGTCGAGAATAGTTCAAGTCAACAATCATTAAGTGGAAGACCAGCCACTTGATGGATAAGCAGTAACCACAACAAAACTGAAGAAACTGGGGATAAGAAGATGGAAAGCCTTGACTGTCAAGCAATTAAGGATGAGAATACTGAGAAAAACTGACAGTGAGCGTAGCCGCTAATATAATCGTTAAATATTGAGATTCAGATTGAGCTTATGTTAGCCTAGACAGTCAACCCGACAGGTTTGCAAATAGAAGCCTATAAACCATAATCTGTTTCTGTGAAATATTTTCTGCAAGCGGAAATTCATATTACTAGCCTCTACATTTTAATTATTTTGAGGCAATTATAGTTAAATCACTCCGTAGACGTCCACGTCCGTGGACCGGTAGATAATTAAGTATCCATCAAATGAGACGAAAGTGCATCCCTAACTCCTTTTTCGAAAGATACGGTGGTCTTTCTTTCCTACTGAAGTGTAATTGTAATTGAAACATGTATCGCTCTTTTATCTGGAAGTGCTTCATATTACTAGCCTCTAAATTTTCCGAATTTTGAATCAATAATTAAAATTTAAGTTGGATCGGTAGATTTCTAAACTGTCCATTGAATGAGACAGGAATGTATCCCTAACTCCTTTTTCGAAAGATACGGTGTGGTCTTTCTTTCCTATTAAAGTGTAATTGTAATTCAAAGAACCTAGGGAAAGATGTATCGCTTTTTTATTTGGAAATGCTATACTTTAAGGAATTGAGTCTGAACCACCAGGATACTTATCAAAGTGATCTAATTCTCTGAAACAATAAAAACATAACAATTGAAGATAAATCGCTATTTTGGAAAAAAGGGAATTTATTATATTCAAGACATTTTAAATGAAAATGGAGAATTTCTTACTTAAGAAGAATCTTAATGTAGATATAGTTTACAAGTGAACTTTTTGCACTACTTTTAAATCCTTGCGTCAATTCCAGTGGGTCTTAAGCCCAAAGCGTCTTGTGAACCAAGGCCTGTGGAATCTAGCCTTGAAGATGATGCTTAGGCGTGACAAATGCAAGGGTTAACCCCTATAAATATTCATTCTTTATTCGCATAGTGAAAGAATGGAATATTCTGCCGCAGTATGTGGTTGAAGCAGAATCTTTTAAACTGTTTATAGCGGGGTTATTAATGTCTTTTTTGAATACGTGAATGTGTAAATAGTGATAGTTAATAATTTAACGTATTTTTTATTCCTTTTTAGGACACGTATAAGGTTGACCTCGAGTTTCCTTTTCATGATGTATTTTATTTTTTATTTTGTTATCTTTAAACGTAATGAATAAACCAGCATTGTTTGTTTGTATGCTATGTTTCACCTCTTTAATGACAAGTCAATCTTGCTTTCAAAAATGCGATGCACGGATTATTATCTTCTTTTTCAAGAGAAAACAGAGATAACACCTATACAGCCCTGAACACGTGGTCCAAGCCAGAAGCCCTTAACCCTGGGCTCCTCTCCAAACATAACATTGATATCAAGAGTATATGGAAAGATCTGTTTAAAAATATACCGCGGCTATCTATTGACAACAAATTGAGACAATTTTCCTTTAAAATACGACATCGTATATTTATTTAGCAAAAAAAAAAAAGAGCTACAAGAAAACCAACCACCTCGCGGGTAACTTAAGTAACCACCGCGAGACTGGGGAACACATGATGGAAAGCCTCGAGTGTCAAGCATGCAGTCAAGTGGGATGAAAAGGCCGGATGAAAATATGCCAGTGATCGAGGCAATCATCTCTTTAGTTTAAATTTCATTCAGTTTATGGTGGTCTTAAGTAAAACAGCCTGTCATCTTTGCTAACAGAAGCCATAAAAAGCAACATGCCTCTGTCAAACACAGAACATACAATTTTCTCAGTCCTCTGCAAGCAGGTCCGCTTTTGGCTGGGCTACACATTTAAATTATTAAAAATCTTTGCGCACATTTTCCATTTTGTAGATTGGTAACTGAAGTTATAATCAGCAGGCATTCGAATAAAGCATTGAGCAACGAGGTAAAAAAGTCAAGAAAAAAGCCTCTTGCAAGTCTTCAAGTTAACCTGTAAAAAAATTGTAGGAAAAGGTACAAAATGGACTTCATTTCGGAACAGAATTAACTTGTCGAAGTTGACGGGGTAGCTGCGCATTAACGGCCAGTGCGATCGTTTTCCACAGGAGGTCTATCTATCACTTAAAAGGCGCACCTCAGCCCATCTTTGAATGTTTCGTCCACTAAAAACTCAATCTACTTCATACATGTATTATTAGACCTAAATACGCATAGTTAAACGAAGTTGAACGATAGTTTGTTGAATAACACATTTATCTCTTACTTTATCAGTTCTATTTTACAGTACAAAAAAAGCTATACGTAATTATAATGAATTCTACAATATTGCAGGCTTCTTAATTCTACTCTGCAATATAATACCGTGTCGAATTCCTGACTGGACCCTATTGGGCCAACTTGCGATACTGAATTTATCTTTGTCAGGCTTTTAATATGTTCTCTTGTTTTTGTTCAACTAATCCGATTCCAGGTGTCCCAGTTCGACTTTTGTCCTGAATACGTTGAAAAGAAACCTAATAATGAAATATGCATCATTTATTTAGTTTCTCAAAACCGCGAGTACAAATATCTCACAGTGGACTCATAAAAATATCCATCGATACTCGACACACTAAACTGTCCAATAAGATATATGTATTTTTAATTTTTCCTCCCTTATAAAAAAACGTCTACAAATAATGAGCTGAACATCACTCTCTAAAGCCAGCGCATATGTTTTGATATTCAGATACAAAACACTGAGTACATGATCTGTAGAAGTAAATCGGGTAAAACATGTTGAAATTATAGTGAAAGAATTATTTTGCTTGGAATTCGAAAAAAGGCGACCGTTTTCGATGGTCCTTGGTCCGCGTCTCAGGTAAGCAGCACGAAAAAAACGTAAAAATGTTATAGTTTCCACACGAAAACGTGATTTTCACAATATTTCATGTATTTTTTTCTTTTCTTGATGCGATTAAGCTAAAGTTTTTTCGGAAGGTGTTGTGAGTAAAAAATAATCTGCTTCTCTTTCAAAGACTTCAGACAACAGTCTCCTCGAGTCTCCCACTCGAGCGTCGATAAAACAAAAAATTCAGAGTCTACAGCAATATGCTTCCAACAGCAGAAATAAGTTAATCTGAAAACCTGTTCTGCAAAAAGGCACGTCTTCCCGTTTCGTTTTATTTATTCGCAGGCTAAGTAAACATGACCATGTAATTTACGGTGCCGCAAAACTCCAAACTTCAAGAAAGACAAATTAACGAACCTGTCAACAAACTTTAATTTCGCGTCTTTAACCCACAGCAAGAAAACCGAAACTTTGTCATGTGAAAAATGCTAATCAGTAAATCACGATATCTTTCATTATTCAACGTATTTTTTTTCTCGACTAAATATTTCATCATTTTTGGAAAAGTCGCGGACCAAGGACCACATACTGTAACAGGACGCAGCGTGACTGAGTGGTCCGCGGTCCTGGGTTCGAGTCCTGCTTTGGCCACTTGCTGGATTTGTTTTCCGTTGTCCCGAGTTCAAATCCTCGGTCACGCTTTTAAATAGCCAACCGGTTGCCTCCTTCCAGTTCGGGTTTTTAATCCTGTTATGTTGTATTTGATCAATGAATTATTTTTTTCTAAGTATTTATGAGTGGAGTGCCTGTAAACTAGCTGGATAAGCTAAGTGCACTTTCCACTGTAAACAAGCCTTTAAACCACCTTTTATGGCCGCCGTGACGTCATCTGAAATCGATTCAAGTTCTATTATATAAAAAAAATCAGTAAGATGTTTAGAAATAATCAAGCGGAGTTTAATCAAACATACTGAGAATTAATAGAAACTAATGAGTGATACGCAGCAGTTGAAATTTGTGATTAAATTTATCAGATTAAAAAACAGTAAATGACTTTTAACAAAGAGGCTATAAATTGAGGGGAAGGATAAGTGTAGGAGTGACATAATCTAGATTGTTCGTCAAATAATGAAGCAGGTGCGTTTAAAAAAGTCAAGGTGAGCTGTAAGTCATTACTTAAGACCGTTATCGCTCCTAATGGGAGACTTATCAATGTTCGCTTCGTCAGGAAACAGGAAATGCTCCCGATAGGGGAACTAGCTTTAATAGCGGTTATTAAATCCTAAAGCAATTATTTTACTAAATATTGTGTAATTTCTGTGCAACGTACTAGTTTGTCAGTCTGTTTACGGAAATAACAGGCTCTTCATTTATATGATTGCAACTATCGTCAAGCCTCTAGGTACTGGAGTTCTGATAACATGGAGTTGGCCTTTTTGCGTCATTTTGGTCTCTTTGAATTGTAACTGCTAAATCGCAGGACGCCGTTTATATATCAACTACCCTTTAGAAAGTGTTTACAACCTGTATGTTCACGAAATTTTACGCTACTTGTCTTTCCTATAACTGGGGTGCAAAATTTCACCCCCTTTTTTGGCGTTAAACAAGGTTCCAATTTTCAACTTTATTTTCCTTACTGTAATTTAGAACGGAACTTTCGTGGCAAACACAACCCGGATTAATCAAATTTATTGAAAGTAGACGCTAAACAGAACACTACTTGATTTTTCTTAAACATCTAAATTTTTTTTCGTCGGGAATCACCGTTACTGGATGTATTTAAAACTGTTCACCATTTGCAGTATATTGGCTTCCCCAACTGGATAGCATCAACTGGAATTGTGGTCATCAAACGTATAAAAAGATTCTAGTTTAACAATGGTCGGCACTCTCGAATCGCGCAGTACAGCCTTACAAGTTGTAGAAGCCGGAGCAATGATTGCATTAAATATCATTTCGCTTTTGGGCAACATTCTAGTTTGTTTGTCGGTTTACAGAAATAACAGGCTCCGCACCACAACAAATCTGTACATCATTGCATTGGCTGTAACTGACTTGATAGCTGCAACTCTCGTCATGCCTCCAGCGACTGGAGTTCTTATCACAGGAAGATGGCCTTTTGGTGAAACGGCTTGTCAAATACACGCTTACTGCGGTCTTTTTGCGGTGTATGTTTCGCCTGTAACGATGGGTCTTACTGCACTTAATAGATACACAAGAATATGCAAATCAGATCAGCAATATAATCTATTCTTTTCGAAGAAAAAATCTCTTATTTTTCTTGGATTTTCCTGGACCTTTGTTGCTCTCTGCATTTTAATCCCTCGTCTTACTGGTCTACAAGAATTCTATTTTGTGCCGAGCTATGCAGTTTGCTTAAACAGGCAGATGAGTGATCTAGGAAAAATACTACACTACATCGTCGTTCTTGGCTCGTTTTTCGCACTTCCACTAGCAGTAACAATATTCAGCTACAGAAAAGTGTTAAAAAAGATTCGGGAACACAATACTGGAACGGCCCGAAACCTTGGAACAAACAACCACGAGACAGTCACAACAAAAGAAATTCGACTAAGCAAGTCTCTGTTTGTTGTCGTCTTTGCCTTCATGTTGTGTTGGGTACCCGCTTGGGTCATCACCATCCTGACGAGATTGTTGTTTGGAAATAAAATGCCTCGCAATGTTCAGTTACTTTGCACTTTTTCCTTAAATATTTCGAACGCTGTTAATCCCTTTATTTATGCTGGAATGAATCCTGTGTTTAGAAGAGAGTTTCGAAGATTACTCGTATGTAGATTTGGCGGAGAGAAAGTCGACAATCATCAATTAGAAGACCAGCCACCTCGTGGATAACTGGCCCGACAGACCCCTGCATTTATGGTTCCAGCGATCCCGAGAACACTTGATCGGAGACTTAGTAACCACAACGAGACAGCGGAAGAGGAGATGGAAAGCATCCAGTTCCAAGCAATCAAGGATGAAAAGGTCGGATGAAAAGATGCCAGTGACCGAAGCAATAATCTCTTTAGCTTAAGTTTCATTCAGTTTATGGTGGTCTTAAGTAAAACAGCCTGTCATCATTGTTAACGGACGCCATTCACCTATAAAACGCAATTTGCTTCAGTCAAACAGACAATGCCAAGTCTTATTTTCCCAGTACAAATACTTCCGTCTTCTGCAGGCAGGTCCGCTTTTGGTTGGGTTATGCCTCTAAATTATTGATCATCTTTGTGCACTTTTTTCTTTATGTAGACTGATAACTGAATTAAGTTATAATCAGCAGGCATTCGAATAAAGCATAGAGCAACGAGGTGGAAAGTCAAGATAAAACCTCTTGCAGGCCGTCCAGTTAACCTGTAACGAAGTTGCAGAAAAAAGTAAAAAAAATTGACTTAATTGGAGCAGAAGTAACTGGTCGAAATTGACCGGCCGGGTGTAGCTGTGCATTAAGAGCCTATCACTAGCCTATCACTAGCCGGACCTAAACCCACGTCTGAATGTTTTCGTACACTAAAAACTCAATCTAAGTCATATTATGAGACCTAAATACGTATAGTTAAACGAAGTTAGTTAACACATTTATAATGAGGTAAACATCCCTCACTAAGGCTAGCGTATATGTTGTAGTTAATTTTTTATCTCAGGTAATTTTTGTTTTTCTTTCGTTTTTGGGTATGGTAATGTATGCTTATGAAGTTGAAACAAAACAAGAAGAAAAATTACCTGATATAAAAAAAAAACTTCACCATATATGTTTTGATATTCAGGTACAAAACACTGAATACATGATCTGTGGGAGCAAATCGGGTTAACATGTTGAAATTATAGTGAAAGAATTATAATATGAAGAAGTGTCTCCATACCGAGCGACCAATATTACTAACATTAAAAATGTTTAAAAATGTTAAACAAACTTAATTTGTCGTTTTCTTTCTCATGGTCAGCAGCTATGCAAATTTCTTGGAACATATTAAGAAATTTTGCGCATGAGTAAAGAGTTCTATCCCCACAGGTCCCCACAGGATCTTTTTTGTACACCAATATGGCCGCCGTGACGTCATGTAAAATCGATCTCTATACGCCGCATTCAAATTGTATTATAAAAAAAATCAGTTAGATGTTTAGAAACAATCAAGCAGTGTTTAATCAAACATACTGAAAAATGATAGAAGGAGTGCATTCGTGCAATTTCACGGAATATGAATATTATTCTCTTTGTTAGTTTATCATTTCAATTCAAACTTATGTGTTATACGCAGCAGTTGAAATATTTCCTTAAAGTTATCGATTAAAAAACAGCAAATAAATTTTCAAAAAGAGGCTAAATTGAAGGGAAGGATATTATGTGTGCATGCGAGTGGAATAATCTTGATTGTTCGTCAGATGATGAAGCAAGTGCGTTTACTTAACGTTATCACTCAGAATGGGAGACTTCGGCAGGAAACACGAAATGTTCCCGACAGGGGAACTAGCTTTTTTTATTAATGGTGGTTATTAAATCCTAAAGCAATGATTACACTGAATATTGTGTAATTTCTGTGCAACATACTAGTTCTTCCGTCTGTTTACAGTAATAACAGGCTCTTCATTTACATCATTGCAACTATCTTCGTGCCTCTAGCTACTGGAGTATAGTAATAACTAGCAGTTGGCCTTTTAACGTCATTTTGCAAATAGACAATAATTATAAACATTAGAAGTCGCTTTAAATTGTACCTGCTAAATCCCAGGACGCTGTTAATGTACAACTACCCTTAAAAAGGTAGTACAACCTCTATGTTCACGCAGTTTTACTTTACTTTTCTTTTCTATAACTGGGGTGCCATATTTTCACCCCCTTTTTAGTATTGAACAAAGCTCCAATTTTAATTTAGAACAGAACCTTCGCGACAAACACTGCTGTGATCCTATCCCTCGCCGTTTAATTAAATTTTTTGAACGTAGACGGTAAACAGATCTTGTGAAGTTAACTTTTCAATGGCGCCTAAACTTTCTCCCCTCCATTGTCACTTTTGCAAATGAGACGACCACGTAGAAGTTAAGATTCATTAGCGTAAAACAAATTTAGATGTTTAGAAAAAACCAAGCAGTGTTTTATGATTAAACATAATGAAACCGAACCGAAATATATTCTGTTAAGTTAGTCGATGATTGAAATTAAAACTATTGTGTTCTACGCAGCCGTCAAAAGGTACTCTTAAAATAATCCGACTGAGAGACTGCTAAGCTACTTTCGAAAAAGACAAACAATGAACGTAAGAAAAGAAAAAAAAAGTTGGAAAAGATGGGGTGATAGTGCGCTTGTAGAATAAACGTCGCTAATAGGTAATAAGATGAAGCAGGTGTGTTAACAAAATTCATATGAAGAAATAAATTATTCTTCTCTATGTTTATATTATTATGAAAGTTGTCACTCCTAATGGGAAAAAAACGTGATATTAGTCTTTGGGAAATCGCATTTAACGGTGGTATTGAAAGCTTTTCACCATTTGCATTGGGATTACCAACAGATAAACGTTATCGCCATCTCATTTCGGCAGCCGTTGAAATTGTGGACATTGAAAACGTTTACAAAGATCAAGTTCAAGAATGGTTGGCACTCTCGAATCTCGCAGTACAGCCATAAAAGTTGTAGAAGCTGGAGCAATGATTGCATTAAATATTGCGTCGCTCTTAGGTAACATCTTAGTTTGTCTGTCGGTTTACAGAAATAACAGGCTCCGCACCACAACAAATCTGTACATCATTGCATTGGCTGTAACTGACTTGATAGCTGCAACTCTGGTCATGCCTCCAGCGACTGGAGTTCTTATCACAGGAAGATGGCCTTTTGGTGAAACGGCTTGTCAAATACACGCTTTTTTCAGTCTTTTTGCAGTGTATGTTTCGCCTGTAACGATGGGTCTTACTGCACTTAATAGATACACAAGAATATGCAAATCAGATCCACAATATAATTTGTACTTTTCGAAGAAAAAATCTCGTGTTTTTCTAGGATCTAGCTGGACATTTGTAGCTCTCTACATTTTAATACCACGTGTGACTGGTCTGCAAGATTTTCATTTTGTGCCAAGCTATGCAGCTTGTTTGAACAGACACTTGTCGACGAGTAATTTTGGAAAAATTGTTCACTACTTTGTCGTTCTCGGCTTGTTTTTCGCACTTCCACTAGCAGTAACAATATTCAGCTACAGAAAAGTGTTAAAAAAGATTCGGGAACACAATACTGGAACTGTGCAAAGTCTACGAATGAACAACAACAAGACAGTCACCTCAAACGAAATTCGACTAAGCAAGTCCCTTTTTGTTGTCGTCTTTGCCTTCATGTTGTGTTGGGTACCCGCTTGGGTCATCACCATCCTGACGAGATTGGTTTTTGGAAATAAAATCCCTCGCAATGTTCAGTTACTTTGCACATTTTTCTTAAATATTTCCAACGCCATTAATCCCTTTATTTATGCAGGAATGAACCCAATATTTAGAAGGGAGTTTCGAAAATTACTTGGATGTAAATTTGGAGTGAGAATCGAGAGTAGTTTAAGTCGACAATCATCAAGTAGAAGACCAGCCACTTCATGGATAAGCAGTAACCACAACATAACTGACAAAACTGGGGATGAGCAGATGGAAAGCCTTGATTGTTAAGGATGATCATGAGAATACTGAGAATCTAATCTCTATATATTGAGTTTATTCAGCTTATGGTAGCCTAGACAGGCCGGCAACTCTCTAGACGCCATATATAAACCGTAATCTAGAGAGAAAAAATTTCTCCGCAATGAAAATGATATTTCTCGCCTCTGTACGTTTGTCCGCTACAGTAGATCCGCTTTTGTCGACTATGCTTAAAAACTCTTTATATATCAATAAGTTTTTTGAAAGACGTTGTACATTGATTACTTTATATTCATGCATAATCAGCAGGTATTCGAGTGAACGAAGAGAAACAAAGTGAGAAATACTAACTGGGAACTTCAATGAAGGGGCGTAGCTACAAAGTTTCCAGAGGTACGCACAGTTTTCCACAGGAGACGCAAACTCACACGTGAGAATAGTTGTTGCGTAACAGGAATATTATAAGGGTTTGTGGGTGAATTTTAGAGATCGTTGCATCGAATATTGTTCTCTAATCACTTTTACAGTGAATCGAGAACAAATTATTTTCACTCTAATGTACAGCAAGCAGACATGTACAAAGTTGGGAATTGGCATCTCGTTTGTTTGATAGCAAGACTACAAAATCACAGCTTACGCTTATTTACCACTGAACAACAAACAATTAAACTTATGAATGAAGCAATTTCCGTGAGTCGCAGGATTCGTTACCGTGTCCTCTTGGAAAAAACTATTCCCTTTATTGGAGTCAGGATTTATGAACCTTGGTAGACACCTAAGCTAAATTCACAGAAGTACCACAAGAATACATTCATTCAGGTTGTTACTTGACAGCACAAATGAAGGACAACCTTAGCTTCAATCCGAGTCCTAAAAAGAGACGACCACATGGAATTTAAGTTTTACGAAACAATCAAGCAGTGTCTTAATAACATACTGGAAATGATATAAAGGCTGGCTTTAATTTCACCGAACTGAAATGTTCTCAGCTATGTTGGTCGATTATTGCGTTCGACGTCAGGAGAACGCAGCCTAAGCTCAACGCGCGAGAAGCCAGAGCACGAGCATTTAAATGTGGGTATCGTTCATAGGAATTCAACTCCAGGAGAGTTCGCCTTCATTTGACAAAGTAATTGAGTTAGAATAATCGCCACGAAGATTGATAGAACGCGAATTCACTTTTTGTGCGACGTTTTTGCTGCGTCAACGTCCTCGGATCTTTTCCCAGAGCCCGTTGTTTCTTTAGGTCAGGTCACATGGAGAAAAGAATGTTTAGAAATGCTACAGGGGATAAATACGGATAATTTAAAGTTCAAATGACAACGAAAATCAGCTGGAAATACCGTTAGTTTGCAGAACCAAGTTGTGGGAAAACTCTCAGAAAAGCCGTAAGGGCTATTTAAAATCCAGAAATCAGCCTCGTTGTGTTCAGCAT